TGAAATCACTATTTTCATTAATTTTCCCAATGTAAGTAAACAGCATTAATTTCTGCTCACAAATAGTCCATTGTCTTTGAACATTTTTCCTGCGGAATTAAGGCACCCTACCCTATGTTATTTAAACAATAAAATGCTTTCTTTGCTTGTTATTACTGGAATGAACGGAAGCAGCTGTTGCAGAAAAAATACATTTTACATATGGACCATGTACAAATACATGTAAATTTTTTTCTGCAATAGCTGCGACATTTTATTGTTTATATTTATATCTGTTTAAATAATCAATTAAAGTATGATTAAAAAGATTAATTATTGAATTAATGATGCAAACGTCTTTATACGTTTCATTGATGGAACAGCCACTGATTAAGAAATCTGTACAGGCGACATGCCTACTGTAGTTTATGCAGTGATGAACGCAATGGGGTTTCTTAAGAAATGAAGGAGAAAATATTCAGTGGATGTAAATATAAATGAATGAAAAAGACTCAATATGCACCCCTTTATATGATATATTTTTCTCTTAGTCCAAAAAACAGTTTCTGTTAGTGTTTAGAGCTTCCTTAAGTTTCCCAAAACACGTCCAAGAAGCAAGATAAGAGCACTACCATTTCATTGAGGTGAGGAGTGCTGTCAGATTATGAAAAAAATTGAAATGATGAAAATCAATAATTTATCCACAGCTTTTTAGGAAATAAATAAATTCCTCCTGTCTGCTGTACCCCCCCCCCCCTTTCGCACTCATTTACGAAATAGAGTTTTGGCATTCGGACATTTTACACGTTTTAAGTACTGAATTTTAGGACAACCCTCGTAGTTGTATATGTATATATATGACACAATTAGCCCTTCATGCATCTGTCACGTTGGTATGTACTTTTAATTGTTCATACAAACGCTCGGCTAACCCCGTAAACTCCAATAATGCTCTTCAGAGTTAATGGAGACAGTCACCATATGGACCATTGCTTCAACTTTAGAAATGCGAATATCTACAGCTTGGATAAATTAATTTTAAAAGAAATGAAGTATTAAGCAATTTCAGAAGGGTCTCTATTTACCCTACTATCAAATAAAATATTGAAAAACAGAAATTAAAAAAAATCTTAATTTTTGGATTCGCATATGGTTTCGATCGGAAATACTACAGTCATATCCTGGATAGTGTTAATTACCATCTATAATCCCTGAAAGGTTTTCATTGATATCTTTTACCGTTCTTAAGATTATCGTGGACAAAATGCCATTTCAAGGAGATGAAGGAAACATGGTCACACGACTCAGTTTTATTACGCAATATTGTAGTCTCAGATAATATAATTATGTTCGGAACCTGATTGAAACCACAGTAAATGTATATTTTGAACACAGGTTGTTTGAGTTCACCATCTTGTATTTTATTAATTAAAAAATATTTAAACTTTCTTGGGATTATTATTAAATTACGGAATAGGATAAACGATCCACTCTTCTGTTTCCCTCCACTATAAGCGTCCAACGAATCGTTGACGTCGTATTTGATCTCTTTGTACAGTAAGATTATACACAGTAAAAAAAGTCAGTATTATAACACAGTTTGAAACGGGTCATTATCATTGTGGGGGTATTTTGTGAATTAGGGAACACAAAAATATTTTTACATGGTTATAGACGGAAATCTTTTGTAGGTATGATTTATTTCGCAAATGTGTTACGTTAAAGATGATTTCTCCCGTACTCAAGGTATGAAGCATGACACGTTTTTCTCATACTCTTGACTTGTTTAAACTATGCCCTGTGCAATATTGAGCTCAGCTTCACCAATCGATATTTTACAAATAATCAATAAAATGAAGACCTTGCATTTCAACGTCAATTTTAAAATATTGAATGATGGAATCTTTTTCAAATTAATTTTGTTGTTGTTTAAAATGGCTTCAAAATTAGGCCTACGTAATTTTACCATTTTCAGATGCAGTGTGACAGAAGAAACTTGCCTTTCGTTCGAAATTTAATCCCTTTACACTTTATAATTTGATACATAATTGCAGCGTAACTACGACGTGACAATCCAAGTATTCCTTTACATTTCATTTATCCAAATGTTAGTTTCGTTCAAGCAAACGCTCGGTTGTCTCCATAGATCCCGACTTGTGAAATGGCGGAGTCGACGGAGACAGACGCCATTTCGGACCCGGTTCAGATTTTCAAATATTGATATCTTAAATTTGGATTTATCAATATTCAAACAAAAACATAGTAAACATAACGAGAAAGGTTTCTTTTCCGATTCTGAAATAAAAAACGAAAAATCCAGCAAAAAGAGTGATAAAAAAATCGGACACACGTGGGATCGAACCCGGGTCGCCCGCGTAAAAATCCAACGCGCTAACCATTACGGCATTGGGAACCGCCGCTTCAAACTTTTAAATGCAAATATCTCTAGACTGGCTATATCGATTCAAGAACAAATTACATATTAAGTATTCTTTGAAAGAGTCTCTAATAACCAAATCAATATAAAAAAAAATATTGAAAAACAAAAAAAGTTGAAAAATTTGACTTTTTAAATTGGCTTCCGGTAGCGACCGGAAGTATTGACGACGAATGAAAGGTCGCTTCCTGGATAGTATTGATCACCATCTATAATCTCTGAAAGTTTCACATTGATATCTTTAACCATTCTTGAGATTATCCATGGACAAAATGTCGTTTGAAAATCAGGAAAATGGTCCGAAACTTGGCACCAGAAAGGAGTTTCCAAAAAATTTCTTGGAACTTTAAAGACTATCTTACAACACATCTTTTCTGAAAATTTCATGCAATTCTATCCAGTAGTTGTCGAGAAATCGTGTCAGAAAAATAATAATAATAATAATAATAATAAGAAACAGTAGAATAACTATAAGGTCTTCCGTGAAGACGGAAGACCTTAATAATAATAAGAAACAATAGAATCACTATAAGGTCTTCCGTGAAGACGGAAGACCTTAATAATAAGAAACAGAGTAAAAACAATATGTTCCCCAACTTCGTTTGGGGAACATAACTAGTGCTAATTGTAACGGGGACCGTTACAGATGTTCCCCAAACGCTCCCCAACTCTCTTTTTGTGCCATATTACCTGTAAGCTTCACTAAATAAGACAAACTGTATGTTTTTGAGACTTTAACATTTACCTGGAAGTGTACGAAGTTCATTCAAATTTTAGCATTGCATGCGTGCGCATGCGAATGCCTGTGCGTAATGATCATATCATTTTGTCTACACAATCCATATATTTTAATAAACTAAAAATTAAAGTATTTAATCCAAAAGTAATAAAAATACGCTCATTCAAGTGTATTTTGATTTTGTTCATTTCACGTGCACGCACGTGCATACATGAGCACGATGACCATACCTTCTTGTAGAAGATCATTACATCTATCTATGTTCTAAATCCCACCCCATATGGTTGAAAACCAAGGGCGTTATACCTGTTAAAAGTCTCAGCCAATTAGATTGCAGCGCACGTACACGCACGTGCGCATGTGCATGGTGACCATACCTTTCTTGTAGTAGTCCATTATATCTATCTATGTTCTAAATCCCATCCTGTTTGGTTGGAAACCAAGGGAGTTATAGCTGTTTAAAGTTTCAGCCAATCAGATTGCAGCGCACGTACATGCACGTGTATCCATGTGCATGGCGACCATACCTTCTTGTAGTAGTTCATAATATCTATCTATGTTTCAAATCCCATCCACTTTGGTTGAAATCCAAATGAGTTATAGCTATTTAAAGTTTCAGCCAATCAGATTGCAGCGCACGTGCATGCACGTGTTTTCATGATAATTGCTATATATCATATTGTAGGATATCCTAATGCATGGCTATAATCAAAATTTCAAAGCATTTCGTCAAAAGACAAAAAAGATATTGAGATTTTTGTTTTAGCCAATTAGAGTGCAGCGCACGTGCATGCGCGTGAGATCTTGCTATTTTGACCATGTCATATTGTCTATACTTCTAATGTATCCTTATATTATGAGTTCTAAAGCATTTCATCAAAAATTTAAAAAGTTACATCTATATCAATGTAATCGGTCATTTATCATGTTGCACGTGCGCGCTCTTGCAAGCACGTGCGCGCAAAATGACCTTCGTTCCGCAAATCTACATTACATGTCTACTGACCCTAAAAACATTTCACCTTAGTCTGATGTGTAGTTTACAAGATCACTCGCGGACAAAATTTTCCCAGGAAGAAAAATAAGAATAATAATAAAAACAGAGTAAAAACAATATGTTCCCCAACTTCGTTTGGGGAACATAATAAGAAACAGAGTAAAAACAATATGTTCCCCAACTTCGTTTGGGGAACATAATTACCTTATGCTATGTGCATGTAAAGAGTTAACTTTTAATGCCTGGATTTAAGAGGGCAGTGTGAAGGCAGAGTTTTGTACCATAAGAAAAACTTTTGAAAGAATAGTCCAATCCACACTTTGCAATAGTTATGTCCCTTTGCTGGGTCAACCAAAAGGTCAAAAGGGAAAGAAATGACATTTCTCCTCTTTATGCTATTAAACATTTGGGAGTGCTCTGATAAATTCACTATGTTTATATTTTTTCTTTCAATATATGGGTAGCTCCATCTTGATCATCATTATACAAGATAGATGCACATAATTTTTACAATCAGATAACAAATTTACAAACCAGAAAACTATAAGGCTACTGTTTGGATTTAATGGCTTTTTCCCTAAAGATGCTGGCCAAGGGACATAACTTTTGAAAAGTGTGGATTCAACTATTCAATCACTTGAATTTTCATATACTTAACTTGGCTAGGTGTCGGACATTACAATCATATTGAAACATTCATTCCTAAGGCATATAAGATAACAGGTACAAATATATTAATGTCATTTGGATGCAATATTTTCCCTGTTCAAAGGTTTGAAACCATAAGTGTTCCATTACTTGTTACCGAATCATAAGCCTAAGTTTATATTTTTCTTTTCTTATTTCAGAAGAAGTATTTGCCATACCTTATTCTGATGTGGATTATATATCTCAGTACACTGGGCCAGTATGACAATCAGCTATTTGAGCTTGGCCTCAGTTTCCAGACAGTAAATTACCTCTCCCACTTCTCCAACTTGTTGATCATCTACATCACAGCATCAATCCTTGTCACCAGCCACATCTTCCTAAAATACCAGCTACACCAAAATCATTACGTCCAATATACCCTGTATTTTTTACAACAGGCATTGGCATTTAATTTTTTGTCAGAGAACTTGCCAAATGAAGAAGATTTAGATGGATTATTAGTATACCATCTGATGATAATTCTAATTTCTTACCTTTTTTCCACATATGTATGGCTTTATATCAGATCAACACTTCATGACTTGTGCACATTTAGCAGAGGATTTTTAGAGAGGAAATCAGCATTCATTTTAAACCCATTAAAAAAATTTATTCGAGTTATTATCAGAAAGTTAGGCTGCATTCCGGTGAACTCAACAATGTGGGTGCTATGTGTTCAGGTCCTTCAAGAAATATGGTCCAAGTGTAATCACGTCTGTCATCTAATGTGGACTAAATGTGTTCAGACCACTACAGAAATGAAGATGAAATGTGTTCAGACTTTCCGTCGTCTTCCTCACCTTGCCAGTTTTTGTGGGAAGTACATCTGTCACAGACTAAAGACATGGACTCTGTTTATTTTGTCAACAGAACTCCCATACTTAAAAACCAAAATCTTTCAGCTGTGCAGGTGGGGCTTTCCAGTCTGTAACATGGCTTTTGATGACCAAAAATTATTTTTCATGTAAAATGTAGTTCTGTAAAGAAACACCTATTATTACACACACCTATTTTACTTGAAATGCATGTAAGCAACACAATATCATTAAAATTTAATTTTTATTTCAAGTAAAAACCATACTGATAAATTTTCACAGGTCGAATCATGGAACAGTACAAAACCGACAGTTATTATCTAAGGCGGAGTATGTGATGGAGGGGCGTTTCTACACACTTGCCCAACTAAATCAGCTTCGTCACGACTGCCTGGAGATGAAGGTCAATGCCTGGAGAATGGCTAATGCACTCACCAATGTTCAGAGGTAGGGTGAAACTCTCTCACAGTGTCTTCTGGGTATTAATTACTTTAAAATTATCTTTTGTGCCAAATTTTCTAACATCAGACATTTGGTGCAGTGTATATCTAACCAAAATCTATATATTATGAAAAATTTTACTGTAAAGTTTTTATTCCTAGATTTAGCAACTTTGTCCTGGGTGAAAATCATGTGACTGCTGCAGAAATAGAGGAGCATCATCGTAGTTGTCGGATTTATCCTCAATCTGCAGACTCGGAATCCTCATCAGAAAGTGAATAGATTTAAAAAAATGTCTTCCTGTAAAATGTCTTCTAGTCTCTAATACAGCATTGTTTTTTTTATTTAGAATAGTATAACTGCAGTTGATTTTTTTTTCGGAATGAATTGCTTTTGCTTTGTTTACTAGTCCAAGATGTATGTTCATATACTCAGATGTGATTTTACAAGTTTTCTACATGTGGCACCCGTATTACTGTTGTTATATATGTTTTGTATAAATATTTTATTGTTCATGAAGAATGTTTTCATTTTGTTTTACATATTAGTAACTTAAAAACTGATCAAGTATGAGAGGGCTCTGCTAAGGGCAGTTTAAGGACATAGAAGGTACACATTCAAGCATCAGAAAAAGTGATACAGCTCATAACTTATAACAGCCTTTCTCTTCAGTGCAAAATTTGGGAGATAAATGCATTATAAACTGAATTATCATCACAAGAAGTTTCAAGGATATATATTTTCACAGAGATACAGACAAAGCAAAATACCTTTAAAATGAATTCTGTAACCTAGGTCTCTTGCTCTAATGTCAAAATATGTCAATGTAAAAGTGTAAAAGGACATGGTACGGCTTTGGCTAAATTTGGCCCCTTTATAGATGTAATATTCATAACAATTGAAATTGTGATATCATTAAATCAAGGACTCAAAAAAATGTGTTGATTTTAAAACCAGCACTAATTTTGATTTGGAGAGTACTTTAATACAGGCTACAAGACGATGCCAAAGCAAGACAAATTACAAAATTTCCTCAATGACAGAATTTATCACATTAAAGAAGGACAGGCAAGGCCATAGTGAGTCATTGTATAAAATTTCATTGCAAAAACTTAAAAGCATCTTAACGAGGCCCGATCTAGTTGAAAATTACGAAAACAGAATGATAAAAAATTTTAATTCTTGGAAATATATTTGTGTGTTTTATGCTTAGAAAAATTAGAATGAAATTTTGTTACCTTGCCTTTATTGTAGTCAAATGGGGACACTGTCAAGATATGGACCATTTGTCATGTTTTTATACACAATTACATACGAAAACTCTTCAATAAACAAAGAAATTTACAAATTAAAAAAAAATACATGATGAAAATCTTTGTTTTTCACATATATCATGCAATTTTCATTCTTCTTATAAAATATGAAAAGAAAATTGGAGGTAGCCTTTATTGCAGTGAAAAGGGAGCATGTCAAAACGCAAAATTTGGATTTATTCTATCCAACTACGTATTTTATAGGTCGCAATGGGTTTACATAATACCAACAAAAGATTGCAATACTGTATTAGTTTCTAAAAATAAATAATTCCTACATTATGAAATAATTTTCTCGCCATTCTTTATTTTTCTCTTAACACGCGACGTTGTTTTACGTGGAAAAAAGGGGTAGAGGGAGAAAGGGGGGGGGGGGGTTAAAGGTGACAAAATTACGATTTTTACTAATATCATGTAATATATAGATAAATAAAATATTTTGTGGGTTGCATTTAAATGATTAATGGACTTATTTTATTTTTTAAAACTGAAGATAATCCATGCACTTTAAGTCCGCAATAAAAAGAGTGTGTATAAACACTTTAACATGTTCATAGAGAAAGACTAAAATCGTTTACTTTTGGTTGCAGTGTTTGTTTGTTTTTTTTTAACTCAAAAATTGAAATAAAACAAGATGAAATTAATAAATCTATTCCACAAAATTGATCCCTCAAAATTAATTAGGTTCCAAAGTTGTTTATTATTTAAATATTTTAAAAAAAGATAATAGAAATGCCAGCTTTCAATGCACAGTCTATAGAGCTACTAGGTAAGCAAGATCAGCGAAACATTTTAGCGCAGTTTGACGTCATTTTAATTGTGACGTTATGGTGTTCAATTGTGACGGCAGTCAAGGGTATTGTGACGTGTCTGAGTCGACGCTGCGTTAAAACGTATCCGCAGATCAAGTAGATCGGGCCTCGTTAAGATATTGCCTAGAAATGAAAGTTTTACACCCACATAGAATGTATGAATTCATTACCTTGACCTTTAGACCTCAAATTAAATAGGGGTCTTTCTTAGACCATAGGAAGTTATGATGTAAAATTTCACTACAAAAGAAGCTTCTCAAGATATCATTTGGAAAGAGTAGTGTCAAACCAGACTGAATTTAAAAGCTTGACCTTTGGACCTCACAATCATCAGGCGTCTTCCTTAGATCATAGGGAGTTGCTTAGTAAAATTTCAATGCAAAAGCTCAAAAGCTTCTCAAGATATCAAGAGAAAACAAAAGTGTTGCAGACAAAAATACAGGAGGACAGACAGACTGAAATTAACATCTCCCATTTTGTGACACATTAAGGTTTCTTATCTAATAAGTACATGTATACAAAATTTGAAAATAAGAGTAATCACATCACAACAGTGTTGAAGGATGGAAAGGCAGAAAGTTTATTTCTGTAAAGCTCCCACTTATTATTCGTTTGATTCGTAGTTTGCCAAAAATTTATTTCTTTTATACCAAATATGGAATTTTCTACAGTATTTCTTGAAAAAGTAATTTTAAAACTGCCACCTGCCACTCTTCATTGCAAAAAAAAAAAAAAATTGCAGATAATTCCATTTATTGCAATTTATTACTACATGTACATCTACTTAAATTTAGAAATAATAAGAATATTTTATCACCAGCAGGCACGGATCTAGAAATTTTTCAAAAGGGGGGGGGGGTTGAAGGATTTTTGAAGGGGGAGGGGATTGAAGGGGAAAAGAGTTATTATAATGTACATGTATATACATGCATATAGTTAAATAACTCAATAGGATACAGCTAGGGTGGAGTATGGTTTTTAAAAGTGGGAAGTTGATCAACCTGGGAAAAAGTAATTGTATGGATTACCAGAAAGTTTTTGAAAAAGAAAGGTAAAATAAATCTCGGAACCTGAAAATCCTATTTAGTAAAGCGGGTTGGATTTCATTTTTTATTTTCACAACCGAATTTCTTTATATATAACAACATTAGCCTTTCACTAAACATTTTCTATGGTAAAAGCACAACAAAACCAGAAGTCTCTGTCGAGACTGAAGCTCTACTGGTTTGTACTTACAAATGAAGACAAAAGTAGCAGTTGGGACTTAAAACTTTACAACAGCAATAAATAAAATAATGATGCTTGATTGAGTCTTTCATTTGGCAAGATACTGCAATAATTTACAGCTGTAGGAGTAGATATTAATAAACTTTTAGAGTATTTACAGTTTTAGTAACCATGGCCACATCATTCCTCGAAATCAAAAATCGATACACAGAATTGTGTATCTTAGTGTAGTCTATTCGTGTGCCAAGTTATATTGAAATCAGACCAAAACTGTAAGAGGTGTAGCATTTTGAAAGTATTTCAGAGAAATTTCTATTTCTAGAAACAAAGGCAACACCGTTCATCAAAATATAAAAAATCGATACACAGAATTATGTATCTTAGTGTAGTCTACTTGTGTACCAAGTTATAATGAAATCAGACCAAAACTGTAGAAGGAGTAGCATTTTGAAAGTATTTCACACAAATTTCTATTTTTAGTAACCACGGCAACACCGTTCATCGAAATCAAAAATGGATACACAGAATTATGTATCTTAGTGTAGTCTACTTGTGTGCCAAGTTATATTGAAATCAGACCAAAACTTTAGGAGGAGTAGCATTTTGAAAGTATTTCACACAAATTTCTATATTTAGTAACTACGGCAACACCGTTCATCGAAATCAAAAATGGATACACAGAATTATGTATCTTAGTGTAGTCTACTTGTGTGCCAAGTTATATTGAAATCAGACCAAAACTTTAGGAGGAGTAGCATTTTGAAAGTATTTCACACAAATTTCTATATTTAGTAACTACGGCAACACCGTTCATCGAAATCAAAAATCGATACACAGAATTATGTATCTTTGTGTAGTCTTTGTGTGCCAAGTTATATTGAAATCAGACCAAAACTGTAGGAGGAGTAGCATTTTGAAAAATTGTTTACAGACAGACAGACATCCGGACGGAGCAAGTCCATTAGTGTGCATAAGCTCTTCTGGTCTCTGACCAGTAGAGCTAAAAATGGAACTTTCTCCTTTCTCTTTCTTTTTTGCATATCCAAAGGGGGGGTTGCAACTCCCATAACACCCCCCTCCCTCTGGATCTGCCACTGACCAGTCTTTCATTTTACAAGAATAAAATTTACTGAAACAAGAGATGTTTGCAAAACACTTATGCCCCCCTCCCCCTCCCTCAAACTGGAATTTTTTCCAAATCCATTGGGCATAACTTTATCAAAAATGGCATGATCATACCCAAAACAAAACTTTGACTATTCATATGATAAATCTGCATACTAAATTTCATTTCAACATGTGCAAACTCTGCAAAGAAAATGGACAGAAACTGCAAATAAGTAGAATTGAAGTAGAAGGGAAGGGGCATAACTCTATCGAACATAGGTAATCTGAGATTACAGAGCTCATCTCAACGAATGTTGTCTTTAAGCAAGGCAAAATCACACAAGTAACCAACAAAAAGTGCACATCCCAAAATGAAAATATTTATGCAATTTTGATCTGATACTTTGGAATAGACCTATATGAAAACATCAAACTAGTTCTTTTTCATGAAATTGTAGTTAAAATCCAGCATCTGAAGCAAATTTGAGTTTTCATCCCTTGATCCATCATTTGTGCAAGTTTGGTTTATACAATGTTATATAAGCCTTATAGTTTTTTGGTAATACACCTGCACCCATAACTTTTACCTGGTCCATTATCTGAAAAATGTATGTCGAATTCAGCATCCGAAGCAAGTCCATTAGTGTGCATCCTAAGATGTATCGTCCATGCAAGATGGCTCATTATAACCTCATAGTTACTTGGAAATGAAACCTGCATCAAAAAGTAACCTTTTCACTCATCCACAAAATATAGGTCAGATTCAGCATCCGAAGCAAGCCTGGCAGTATGCATCCTAAGATGTATCATCCACGCAAGTTATGTCATTATAGGGCTCATAGTATCTTAGAAATCAAACCTGCACCAAAAACTTTAACCCCTTCACTCAACCGGTAAATGTAGGTCAGATTCCGCATCCAAAGCAAGCCTCGTAGTATGCATCCTTAGATGTATCATCCATGCAAGTTTGGTCATTATAGTGCTCATAGTATCATTGAACTGAAACGAAATGAGACCTGCACCAAAAACTTTAACCTGTTCACTCAACCACAAAATGTAGGTCAGATTCAGCATCCGAAGCAAGCCTGGTAGTGTGCATCCTTAGATGTATCATCCATGCAAGTTTGGTCAACATAGGGCTTATAGTTACCAGGTACTTGGAAATGAGACCTGCAACAAAAACATTAACATGTTCACTCAACCGGAAAATGTAGGTCAGATTCAGCATCCGAAGCAAGCCTGGTAGTGTACATCCTTAGATGTATCACCCATTCAAGTTTGGTCAACATAGGGCTTATAGTTCCTCGGAAATGAGACCTACACCAAAAACTGCACCAAAAATATTAACCTGCTCCAAAAACATTAACCTGGGCATTCCTTTGCTGAAATTGCAGCATCTGAAACTTTGACTGGTACAATGAAACACACTAGAAGCATCTTCCATGCATGTCTAATCAATATAGGACATAGAAGTATTTAAAAAGAAAACTGCTCTAAAAAACTTAACCTAGGACGCTGACGGTATTACATAAGCTCCCCCAACTCGTTGAGGTGAGCTAAAAATGGTGCGATCATACCCAAAACAGAACTTGACCTAGATATTCAGCTGATAGATCTGTATACTAAATTTCATTTCAATGTGCAACCTCTGCAAAGAAAATTGACGGAAACTGCAAATAAGTGAAATTTTTCTAAGTCGAAGGGGCATAACTCAAACAAAAATGGTCCGATCATACCCAAAATACAACTTGACCTAGATATTAAGCTGGTAAATCTGAATAGCAAATTTCATTTCAGTATGAGCAATCTCTGCAAAGAAAATGAACGGAAACTGCAAATAAGTGGAATTTTTCTAAGTCCAAGGGGCACAACTCTGACAAAAATGGTGCAATCGTACCCAATACAGAACTTAATCTAGATATTCACCTGATTAATCTGTATACCAAATTTCATTACAGTATGTGCAACGGTTGTGAAGAAAATGAACAGAAACTAAATGGACCAACAGACTGACCGACAGACAGCAGTAAAGCAATATGCCCTTCCTTCTTCGAAGGGGGGGCATAACAAACACATGACAATAAGTTCAATGTTTATTCAATTAGATTTCAATACATGTAAGAATACTTGCAATTCATACTGAAAACATTGATATTTTGAGCTGAATCACAATCTGCAAGGTTTCTATACTGCTAACTTAAACCTCTGACTTTTACTGCAGCAGCTTTTATTAAACATATTGCTATTTTGCCAATTTACATTCATAGACCAAAAATCATTTATTATTGAATCATTGTGGAGTCTAGAACTTTGTCCAGATGTGACAAGGACAAGTAGTGGTGTACAAAGAAATTTTAGAAGGAAATCTGTGTTATAAAATAAATGGCTCTTTCTTAAAATATGTTCACTAAAAGAAATTAAAACATTAATTGTATAAAATAAAACCTACTTCATCAGAAATCTTTACTGACAAGTTAACAACCAATTTCCAACACTTGAAAGCTAAAACATAAGCTGCATTATATCAATGTAAAATCAGTGTTACAAACAAACAATTTATCACAGGTTTACTTGATTTGATCTTTGCAAGTCACAATCTTTTTCACACATTTTCCGAGTCTCTAACACGAATACTTGAGATAGATGACCCAGGATCAGCGTCTTTTCTTACTAGGTGGTCCACCAACACTGGAGTCACGCGAGCGTTTTTTATCTTGGAAAAGAATATAAGTGATGTCAAGTTAAGGTAAATAATTTACTGTGGGAGTCACACTTCAGCTTCTTTTACAAAGAAAATATAACTGGTGCACCACATCATTCTGATTGAACAAAGCGGCAAGCATGCTCATACATGTAGCACATGTACAGTGCTTCACTATAAACAATTTGCCATGTTAAAAGTATGTTTTAACCTACAGGGAATTAAAATTTCATTCACTGCAAGTATTCACTTGATTTTTAGCTGTAACCATATTTTACTGTGTGTATTAGATATACGAGAACCTGCATTGCTTACTTCTGTCATGAAAAGCATAACAAGTAATCATTTCTGTAAAATGTGAGTACATGTACTGCTAAGGTTAATGCAAAGATAAATTGTAGAAGTCTCTCTGTAAATTTTGTTTATAGGTGTAAAGGATATTTCTCAATGGCAATTTCTTGTCTGAGTATTCCGGTCAGGATAAACTCGGCGTTAACAATGGTGACCCCAGCTTTTACTGCTGCCTCGCACACTCCTTTATCCTCGGGACAGGAAATGATCACTACTCTTTCCCCAGCTTTCTTGGGCAGGGTAGTCAGATACTGAAACAATCACTCAAAAAAATCAGAAATTTAGGGGAAAAAAAAACACAAACTGATGTATGCTAAACTGCTGAGGTTTACATTGCAAATCATTGATGAAAATAGAGACCAATGGTTTAAGTCTTCTTTCATTTGCCTACTAGCTGTTTGTAAAAACTGAATATTGTAAACAATCCTGGTCCAAGTGAAGTGAAAATGTCTGTTTCATTTCTTGCCCTTTTTTTCACTTAACTAGAATTTTCAAATCAAAAGCCTGCTATACAATAAACGAGAATGATAGTTTTTATTGCCTCCCTTAATACCGGGATGAATCACACCTCCTTAGTTGTGGGGAAATAAATACATTTTACACTTATGAATCATGTGACCAAAATACATATACCTACATAAATATATTTTGATCTTTCTTTCAACATTAAGTATCGAAGAATAATTTTACATTCCTAAATGATATGACAATATGAAACAAGAGGCCCAGGGGCCACAGCGCTCACCTGAGCACATCGGACTTGAATTTACTCCCCCCCCCCCCTCCAGGCGTTCATCATTTGAACAAACTAGAATCTACACTACCTGAGGATGATTCCATATAAATATCACTAATCATAGCTTTGAAGTACTTGAAAAGAAGATTTTAAAAGGTTTCCCTATATATCCCTATGTAAAACTTGGGTGGCAATTTTGGCCCCACCCTAGCCCCGGGGGTCATGATTTGAACAAACTTGAATGTGCACTACCTGAGGATGATTCCACATGAGTTTAATCTTTCCTTGCCCAGTGGTTCTGGAGAAGGATTTTTCAAGATATTTCCTAAATACTAGTATTCCTATGTAAAACTTGGGTCGGCCATTTTGGCCCCACCTTTGCCCCGGGGGTCATGATTCGAATAAACTTGAATCTACACTACCTGAGGATGATTCCACTTGAGTTTCATCTTTCCTGGCCCAGTGGTTCTGGAGAAGAAGATTTTTTAAAGATTTTTCCTATATATTCCTATGTAAAACTTGGGTCGGCCATTTTGGCCCCACCCTAGCCCCGGGGGTCATGATTTGAACAAACTTGAATCTACACTACCTGAGGATGATTCCACATGAGTTTCATCTTTCCTGGCCCAGCGGTTCTGGAGAAGAAGATTTTTTAACCAGAAGTCTCTGTTGAGACTGAAGCTCTACTGGTTTGTACTTATAGCAAAGGAAGAAGAAAGTACTTAAGCAGTTGGGAATTGAAAATTTACACAGGCAAAAAAGAGAATAATGATCCTTGAATAAGTCTCTTTATGTTCTTAGTGTAGTCTACTTGCAAGCCACATTATATTATAATCAGACTAAAACTGTATTTGAAGTAGCAAATTTGAGAGTAACAGAAATTGCTATCTTTATTAACCAAGGTAATAATGTTCATTGAAGTCAAAAACGGATTAAAGAATTATGTACCTTAGTGTAGTCTACTTGAGTGCCAAGTTATATTGAAATCATACCAGAACTGTAGGAGGAATAGCATTTTGAAAGAATTTCACAGAAATTTCTGTTTTTGGTAACAACGCCAACACCGTTCGTCGAAATCAAAAACCGATACACAGAATTATGTATCTTAGTGTAGTCTACTTGTGTGCCAAGTTATACTGAAGTCAGACCAAAATTGTAGGAGGAGTAGCATTTTGAAAGAATTTCACAGAAATTTCTATTTTTAGTAACAACGCCAACATCGTTCGTCGAAATCAAAAACCGATACACAGAATTATGTATCTTAGTGTAGTCTACTTGTGTGCCAAGTTATATTGAAATCAGACTAAATTTGTAGGAGAAGTAGCATTTTGAAAGAATTTCACAGAAATTTTTATTTTTAGTAACAATGCCAACACCGTTCGTTGAAATCAAAAACCGATACACAGAATTATGTATCTTAGTGTAGTCTACTTGGGTGCCAAGTTATATTGAAATCAGACCAAATTTGTAGGAGGAGTAGCATTTTGAAAGAATTTCACAGAAATTTCTATTTTTAGTAACAACGCCAACACCGTTCGTTGAAATCAAAAACCGATACACAGAATTATGTATCTTAGTGTAGTCTACTTGTGTGCCAAGTTATACTGAAGTCAGACCAAAATTGTAGGAGGAGTAGCATTTTGAAAGAATTTCAGAAATTTCTATTTTTAGTAACAACGCCAACATCGTTCGTCGAAATCAAAAACCGATACACAGAATTATGTAACTTAGTGTAGTCTACTTGTGTGCCAAGTTATATTGAAATCAGACTAAATTTGTAGGAGGAGTAGCATTTTGAAAGAATTTCACAGAAATTTCTATTTTTAGTAACAATGCCAACACCGTTCGTTGAAATCAAAAACCGATACACAGAATTATGTATCTTAGTGTAATCTACTTGTGTGCCAAGTTATATTGAAGTCAGACCAAAATTGTAGGAGGAGTAGCATTTTGAAAGAATTTCACAGAAATTTCTATTTTTAGTAACAACGCCAACATCGTTCGTCGAAATCAAAAACCGATATACAGAATTATGTATCTTAGTGTAGTCTACTTGTGTGCCAAGTTATATTGAAGTCAGACCAAAACTGTAGGAGGAGTAGCATTTTGAAAGAATTTCACAGAAATTTCTATTTTTAGTAACAATGCCAACATCGTTCGTCGAAATCAAAAACCGATACACAGAATTATGTATCTTAGTGTAATCTACTTATATGCCAAGTTATATTGAAATCAGATCAAAACTGTAGGAGGAGTAGTATTTTGAAAAATTGTTTACAGACAGACGGCCGGACGCATTACTATCGCATAAACTCTTCTGGTCTCTGACCAGTAGAGCTAAAAATGCCATTAATTTATAACAAATTCATGATTATCTCCCCTTGGAAAAGGGCGTGGCCCTTCATTTGAACAAACTTGAATCCCCTTCACCCAAGGATACTTTGTGCCAAGTTTGGTTGAAATTGGCCCAGTGGTTCTTGAGAAGAAGATGAAAATGTGAAAAGTTTACGACGACGACAACGACAACGACAACAACGACAGACGACGGACAAATTTTGATCAGAAAAGCTCACTTGAGCCTTCGGCTCAGGTGAGCTAATAAAACAAATAAAGTGCCGCGCCACAGCATGATACGCCCGTCAATGAAAATACAATTTTCTTGAACATTTTAGTGTGCAAGAAAATCACGTCAACCTTGATTCCAAGATTTCCATGATTTTTCCATTCCTTAAAATATTTATCCATTTCCTGTTATCTAGGCATTAATTATAATAAATATTACATCATTAATAGATTTCTATGCTGGTTGTGTTAGACCTTGTCAAATGCCCATCATATTAAACAATATCAAATTATTCTTAACATCTTAATCTATAACAAATTAATTTTGAAAAGAAAAGGCCTGGCCATCAAATGACATATGCTATAAACTGACCAGCACTTCTTTTGTCTAATCCCCAAAGGATACAGATAAGCCGCTTGATCAGCTAGCCTTCCTACACTGAACTCGTTAATTAATCTTTAACTGGATGCTTGTCTACTCATTACTACCAAGAGATGAATGGGTCTGCACTATCTACCATAAATTTTTTTCTAAACATATAAAATATTCAACGATTTTTTTTTGGTTGAGATTTAATGTCCGACAGGTTTTAATATGTAATTCATATGGAAATGCTGATTCCACTCCACCCCTTAAAATTAGTTTTTAAATTAATAATATTATATAATATCAGATTAGTCTATTATGCAATATCAAATTAGTTTTAATTACTTTTCATCAAATTCATTTTAAAACTTAGGCTAGCCAACAAGAGCTATTTTTAATCCAACAGGCTTACCCATCTGCCCAATACCCAAGGGATGTAGATAACACTGATGTTCTATTAGTTAGATCCTCACACTCAAAACTCATTAATTTCTCTCTAATTTGACATGCAATTTTCTGTTATCAAAATTCTTCTTGACCAGTGCTTGATAATTACACTCAAGGGAGAGGTAGGATTTCTCTAACATACATTATATTTGTTATAGATTGCTGTCAAGTATATGCTTAAAAAAATAAGTATTTTCTTGATTTAACACTTTTTTAATAAGAAGAGAGCAATACTCTTACATTATTTGGGATGCTTAAATGAATAGTAAAAAGACACATTTTTTTTTTTATTTCACTTAAATTAAAGGTCACAGTGACCTTGAAATAGGTCGCGACACACCTTCTACCTAAGATGCATAAACTGGCCAAGTTTGATGATTGTTAGTCTTATAGTTTTCTAGTTATGGGCGCGACACACCTTCTACCCAAGATGCATCAGATGACAAAGTTTGATAATCCTAGGCCTAATAGTATTAAAGTTATGAGCCGGAAACGAAAAAGCTAACAGACAGACGGATGGACGGACACGAAGCCTATAACAAAATACGTCCAGTCTTAAGACGGGCGTATAAAAACTGTTTCAAAAAGCTAAAATTTATTCAGAAAAATTGAAAAATCGGTTACACTTTCAGCTGAGATGATCTACCAGAACAAATTCTCTTACCTCTGCTCCAGAACAAGTAATTATGTCTGAAAAGAAAAGGAATTCATATCTTTACTACAGGTCACACAAAATTAACCTCAAAATCCATACCATTACATGTGTATCATACAAGTACCAGAATCTTATTCTTCCTGACTCTTCACTAAGTTCACTAGTTCTCTTACTTTGTACAATAGTAATAAATCATGAAGTACCTTTCAAGTTGGTGGGGTCAGGTTTGACAGACTTGGTGACATGCTAAAATTCTACTTTTTATGATATAGTATGAAGTACCTTTCATGTTGGGGGGGTCGGGTTTGACAGACTTGGTGACGTACTAAAATTCTACTTTGTATGATATAGTATGAAGTACCTTTCATGTTGGGGGGGTCGGGTTTGACAGACTTGGTGACGTGGATCTGGTAACCTGATAACAGGCTAGCCTCGCTGGCCTTCTCCAGAGAGAGGTGGAGAGTAAACTTATACTGTCTCTCAGCTGCCTCATCTCGGATTAGGAAAGGAACATGATCTGTGTCATAAAGGGAAGAAACTATCAATTAAGTTCCAACAACCAATGTAACATACTACAGCCTACTCCGGATATATTGAAATTTAGGGGACCATGAAAATTATTTCAATATATCCGTAATTCAATATAAGCGAAATCGTGAAGCCGCCATTTTCAATCCCGATTTTAAATTAAAGAACAAACCCGAACAAATTAATTTTGTCATTGCTTACCTATAACAGTGTACAGATTACATGAAATATTAGTATATGAACGTATAAATAATTGTTTTTCTTTCTTTTTTATCAATCTTCAACTTCATTAATATGTTTTACGGTGTGACCGTTGGGGCGAGCGCAGTTTATTTACTATCATAAACCTGCACATGTACTGTCTATCATTCAAGAAAAAGAAAGCAAAAAGAATAAAAGAAATCATTTCCCAAGCATCGGGATCGAGATTCCAAACTTCTCGGAAGTTTCCGACAAAATCGGAAATACTCGAACCGTTGAAGTGACGAAAGTATGACGTCATATAAAAAGTTCTGTTGACTTAGGACGCAAATGCTAGTTTTATGGAAAAGAGATTGCATTAAATCGTTCTTTTCAGTATTAGTTGTTGCTATGTTTTAGCCACCATGTTGCTATGCACCGCAACATGTTTTCCGAGTTTCACGGAAGCAACCGACATAACTTCGTCAAAAATCGTAAGTTTCCGGTGACGTCATTTGTATCATTTCCGAAGGGCAGGGTGAAGGCCGGTGTTGTGGCATGGCAGTATTTTTTTGAATAAGGTAAAGCAAAATCATTTCGTTAAGATTTCCGTAAGAAACAATGTTCCTTTAATTTTTTTTTTTTTACTATTTTTGATTTATTCGCGCAAAGGACATTGGGTAGTGCAGGAATTCTGGGAATGTTGCACAGAGAAATTTGGCTGACGTATGTACAGATTTCAATCCGAATTTCCTCTGTTCATACACATTAGTCTATTGAGCTCGCTTTGCGAGCGTCGCTTCGCGACGCTCGCTGCACTCGCTATTATTCCCCGATCGCATTTATTCACATTCTGGAGAAAAATCACCGATGTCAAACTGCTGAACGCTGCATGTATTTTATCATAAGTGTACTCCCGACGGGTTGATCTCTTAGCTTTGCATTTAGGTTTATCATTAGCAATTAACAGTACGTATTTAATTCGAAAGTTAATTTTTTTCTAGATCTATGGGGGTTACTATGTTGCCTTTAGCCTAAGTACTGCCGTATGTAATATATACATGGAAACAAAGAATTTAGCAGTAAATAATTGTATTTCGTAAGAGCAGTATAAAAACACATCAGGTGAAAACTTAATTATTCACACGTTTTTAAATCAACTGGTCAGTCAGGCATAATTTCTGTCGCCAACTTAAATAACAGCCGGCAGGGAGTACTTCAATATAACCGCTATGAAAACAACTCATTATCACCTGTGGGGACCGATCAGTGGCTTCAATATAAGCGATATTTCAATATAGCCGATTTCAACATAACCGTTATTTTAATACAAAGAATATGAGAGTCAAAAACTGGGGATTTATTTTTATTTCAAAATAAGCGGAATTTCAAAATAAGCGAGTTCAATATAAGTGGAGTAAGCTGTATAATTCCCTTTGTGATAGAGACCCTTTTTTACATTCAAGGGGAAAAAAGTCATTTGAATGCGAAAATAATGTGAACACATCACACAAGAATTCATTATTCCAAATTCATTTTTTTAATTAAAATGTCAAAGCTTTCAGCAAAGCTAGGAAAATACTGTATCTAATTTGTGGTTTTTTAGTAAGGAATGTAGGTTAATGTCGACTCATGATGGCAGCAGTGCATATTATTTATGTAAATTTTTATGTCATATATTTATCAAACTTTACATAAAACATTACATTATTTTTTTTGATATTTTTGATTACATGTTCAAATTTCCTTATTAATAAATGCATCATGTGTGATGTTATATACACATACTACATGTATTGTATCAAATGGAGCTTAGTTGGGGGACCATTCCCTGATAGCTGCCCTGTTTTTGCTTTATTTCAGGAAGCAGTTTCTTTATTTTAAATCGAGTAAATTTAAAAAAAAAAGTTTTTAAAAATAAATCTAATGAATACCTTTAAACATTTCTGTGAACTAGCTTCTAAATGAAAGCAGGACTTACCTACAAACATTCCTGAGGATTTACAACTATCCAACCAGAGAGGGTTAACTATGGGGACTCCTCTGGCCAAACAACACAAAAACTTCACCGTCCTCCTCACCTACAAATATCCCCACACTCAGAAATTATAAACAAATACCCTGTACTGCTATTTAAAAGTTACCATTCAGTCTTCAACTCAGTATAAAGTACAGTTAAAAGTATAATACCTTGTCTGTGACCAGGTGTGTACATTCATGAACAGCATCCACCAGGTGTCCTCCTAGATCCTTTACCACCTGATGGGGTAAAACATATAAAGAAACTACCATTTCTGTGAGTAATTTATCATTCAGTATCACTGTATTGCCAATTTAAATAGATTTACTCCAATACATTATAGAGATGTCATTTATACATTCCATATCAATTTATCCCCAAATATTTACATTTCCAATGTCTTTGTCCGAGATAAAATTACAAATAGTTAATGCACTTTATTTCTACAAAATGTACTGATTCATCGATAGGCGCGGTTTAAAAAATCGTGTGAGGCAGGACAAATAGAGACAGAAGCGGGGCTTACAGCACATGGATATGTGGAATCAAGAGCATGTAAATGCTTCGGCGTTTATGCAAATAATCCCGCAAGCCAATTGATTGATCACATCATGAAATCAAAAAATTAGTTATTCCTTAATTTAAATAATTCTGATGTGATATATTTACTCTATCAACACTCTCTTTCATTTGAAGCCCTGTTCAATTTTTTTTATTTAAAGTACATATACAAGTCTAACTTTCTGGCCATGTTCATCTGTAACTCCAGTAAACATTACTCTGGGTTTCATTGGATCTACAGACGTTCTTCTCAGTGCTGCAGATGGTGAATCTGTTGTTTTAGTGGATTTCTTCACCTGTTGAGGGGTTGATGGAGGCTCCATTCTGGATTTCTATAAAGAAATTTCATTTCCAGCCTGTATGTACATGTATTTGAGATTTACAATTTATGTGCTACTGCACTGGTAGAAAAATTTTAGTAACTAGCTATTCATCAATGAGTGATGCAATAGTATACCTCTGCAGTGCTGTGTCTGCCACGCCCCCTTTTAGCCGCAGTTTTTGGCTTGGTGCTATCCTGGGAGTCACTGTTCACCTCCGAGTCGGAGACACCAGGTGGCGTATCCTGGTCATTTTTCAATTTTTTATTGCTGCCCTTTTTAGCTGAGGATTTCACAGTATCAGCCTCTCTCTGTCTTGACACTGAGCTGTCCCTGCTCTCTGATTCACCACTGCCTTTCTCTCTTGATGAGTGAACACCTCCTCTTGACTTTCGCTTGGAGCCACTGTTGTCCTGTGAACCTTGACTGTCAGTCTGCTGACTATCTGTCTGTTTGGTCACAGTCTTTCTCCTCCTTCCTCTCGCTGGCTCTGTGGAAGTCGCACTCTCCTGGCTCTCTTCGATAGTAACATCAAGCACCTGTTTGACCACTGATTTTCTTTTACTTTTCTTGTCAGAATCACCATCACAAACTTCACTTTCAATCTCCACGTCCTTATCCTGTTCCACTTTTTCTTTGCCCCTACCTCTCTGTTTTGTTTTTGTTTTGTTTTCACTTGGGTCAATTATTCTCTCACTCACTTTTTCACTATTATTGCTAGCTGCCTTTTTAGTTCTTGTGTTGTGAGAGGAGGTGCTTGGTAGTGTATCATTGCTAGTTTCTTCACTGATGATACTTAAGGCTTCTTTTTTCCTTGTCCTTTTTGATCCAGGCTTAGAAATCTTTTCACCATTATCTGTTTCCATTTCTTTGTCTATACTTTCACTAGAATGCAGCTCATGCACATCTTCTACTTCTGAAGTCACTGATGTTGCTGATATATCACTTTTAGCTCCTCTACCTTTCCTTTTCTTAGGAATGCTCTCAGTTTCCGCTTTAGTCAAGCTTTTACGACCTTTGGATTTTTTGTTCTCTTCCTTTTTGACTGGAGAATCACCTGTTTTCCTTTCCTCATCAGGTTCCTCTAATTCTTTCCCTCCAGATGTATGAATTTCAGAATCCATTGGTTTCTCTGTTTTATTTTTCTCCCCATCAGCAGTGTCACTCCTCCCTTGGTCTTTTCCTGCTTTAGCTGCCTTTGCATCAGAAACTGACTGATCTATCTCGTTATCTACTGTCCTACGTTTACGTTTTCCTCGACCTTGGCTGATGCTTTCTTCAGGCTGTTCTGAATTCCCTTCTACAGTGGATAAGTCTTTGGAACTCTCCACATTTTCCTGAGAGGCTGGTTCTTGTGACTTACTGCCACGCTTTCCTTTCCTACCTTTTGTTTTTGCCATATCTCTCACCACCCCCTCATTCTGTGTCTTTTCACCACTCTGAGAAGAAGTGGGTTCCTCAGCATGGGATTCTCCTTTGACTTGCTGGGATTTTCTCTTTCCTCTTCTTCCACCACTTCTCCCCTGAGAAGATTCTTCTTCATTTGGTTTTTCATCCACTTTCTCTGTTAGAATACTTTCACTTTCCATTCCCTCTAAAGGTGGAGTTTCTTCCTCATCAATAACTCTCACCTGTTCATCCTCACCTCCTTTTGTTTCTTTACTCCCTGCTTTACTTGCTTTGGCTCCTCGTCTACCCTTTGCAGATGATGATAGCATTTCAGTCTCAGATGCTGGATCTAATGATAATTTCTTAATTTTTCCCTGAGTTGGGACGGCTGTTTTTGAGAGATTTGTGAGAGATCTTCTGTTTCTTCCTTTTGATCTAGATCCTGGGACCGCCTCCTCAGCAGGTTTGAGTTTGGATCCAGTCGCTTCATTTAACTGAACTTCTGACTCTCTCTACAAACGAAAGCCCATGTTTTAAATCGTGTTTAAAATGAAAGTAAAAGAAATCTGCTCTACTTTATCAGAGAATATTTTTTGTTTCAATCAAGTTTGAAGTAAAAGAAAACTGCTCTGATTTACAAGAGGGAAATGAATTGTGAGATACATACTTTTTCAAAATGGACTCTTTTAGGGGAGGGTGATCCTCTTCCTGGGCTGGCTAAAGCAGACTTGTGTGGAGATGAAGGGGGTATAGGTACAGGCTGAAAAGACAATATCAAAAATAAAATTTATGGTATTTTTCCACTTTACACATAAAATACACTTTATAAATGTATGTCTATTAATACAGGTGAATTCCATCATCTTGTAAAAATATTTGGAATACCAGATATATGCCCAAAAGAGCTTTCAGTTCTAAAGATTTTTCTCTCCATTTTTTAAGATTGTCTTCCTAGATTCTTTGATATTCTGAATAAATAAGTTCAAAATGACCAGGTTTGACTGTGTATGTTAACATGATCACAAGATCACATTTCTGAACAATTTATAATTCATTCTTTTTCAACAATCTGTGAGAAAAATTCTTCTATCATTATTGCCTTCTGATTCAACAAGAAACTGGAGTTAATAACTAAAAACATGCATTATGATATCCTACCAAAACGTCTGGTATTTCTTGTACCATTTTAACTGGTTCAACTGGCGTTCCATCCTTGACTTCTACTCCAAGTACTTCAGAGATTGGCGGTGTGGTACTACTGTCATCTGTCGAATTTTTCATTAATATATTAAATACTAAGATAATACCCACATTAGTTTTTTTTAAATAAATAGAACTATGATCGAGTCATTATAATAAACTTCTATAAAATATGAATAGCACATTTCTTATCTCTAAATATTGTAATTAAAAACTACACAGGATAAATTGTAACAAGATTTAAGGTTCATAGATACTCTGATAAGAGAGATAACTCTTAATGACATAAATGTCTATTATTCCTTTATAGATTTGCCAAGTTGAAGTGTCTTTTCTGCCCAATTTTGCATCACAATCTATGTTATAATTGTTAGTATTTTACTTACAAAATACATCTTTATTGAGAAATCATTAAGATTCAAGCAACATTTTATATGAGTGAGCAGAGGGTTTATGAACCTTAAACTGGTCTGTACCTAAAATTGATTAAAGGTCTGCCAATTTTTGACATCTGCAAGAATCGATTCCAGAATTTTGTAAACATTTCTAGAGATTTTTTTTTTTGGTCAATAAAATTAACCGTGCAGCAATGTTTGACCACATGTGGCAGTGCCTTAGAAACTTTAATTATTTTTTTGTCTAATAACTCTTTATATTATCACCTTCCTCCATACAATAGGCCTGTGTGGGTTGTAAGTCCTCATCATCACACATCATTGTATACGGTACAGTCTGGGCTATCTCCTCTACACCTGTGTAAAAACACAATACAGTAAAACAAGGTGTTAATCTGCCAGTACTAGTAAACTGAATTATAGGTATTACCTACAGTAATTGTTAAGTTATTAGAGAATGCCTACTCCTAAAATGATGCCCACATGTCAAATATCTGTATTTATAACATATATACACACATACACATTTTTTAACAAAAACACACACAATACATGTACATTCCCTGCCACAAGATCAAATGTTGGTGTAATGTTACACTACTCATTGCCTCAAATTCACAAACATGCAAAATATCAACCTTTCATTTTATATCTTAAGGTAGGATTCTTCTCTGGTTTCTGACTAGATGAAACATTTAAAGTATATCTGCTTATATGTCTTATATATTGCAGTGTAAGGAATTTAAAAGACCATATTTTTCTTTCCTCATCACAATTGTACAACTTTAAAAAGAAATGGTAAACTGTGTTTGAAAACTAGCAGGGACTATATTTTTGGCGGAATGGTGGCGTATGAAAATATCTTCTTTTCTGACTCTCAAAATTATAATAGAACAATGAATTATGGTATAATTTTTACACAATCAAAGACTTGGAGAAATTTTCAAATGTAAGTTAAATTAATAATGAGGGACTAAACTTTCAAAATATATCAAATAAATATGCTTTTTCAAACAAACTAGAACTTTGTTAGCTTTTAAACGCTTCCTATCAAAGTGCAGATTTGAGCCAAAAATCCATAAAAAGTATTTTTTCTCTCTTAGTAAACGATCAAAACTTTTTGTTTTGGTATCATTTTGTACATTTATAAGACTACTGTATTATGTGTGAAAATAAGAAAAAGTTAAATATAGGAAGCATATGATAACTAATATATCCAAAAAAAATTAAGAAAAACAGAGAAAATTCGGATTAGCCAATATCCAGTTAGAGTTAAATTATTTATGTAAATTTGGTAATATCATGCTGTAGACCTGATATAGTAATATATTTTTATGCAAAAAGAACAATCATTAAATTTTTGAAATAGAAGTTGGTATCACATGATTGGCAACAGTTATTTTTTATTCTTAATGTCAAGGAAAAAGATAATGACCTTGACCTGACCTTGCTTCTAATATAAAATGGTCAAATTCAATTTCACTGATACTATCACTTACTGATGTTGTCTTCTTGATTCTGAGAAAATTTCATTAATTTTTAAATATTAGAAATATGAGAAGAATCCTATCTTAATCTAAGTGACAGGTGAGTTTATACATATGGCAGTCCCTTACCTGTGTCTGATTTTGTGTCATTCACCCTGCCGTCCACTACCCCCTCCTCTGTTGTCATTTTCTCTGTGGTCAAGTCAGATTCAGTCTCCTCCTTTGTGACCTCTTCACCCCTCTCTCCCGACTCCTCTGTTACATTAGCCGTATTCTTGCCTCCCTTTCCCCTTCTGCCCCTTCCTTTCTTGGTTGTGGTATCCTGAGCTTTTTCCACAGGTTTTTCTTCCACAGCTAATGACTTTCTTTTGGATATGCGGCCACTTCTCTTTGGTTGAATTTCCTCTGAATCCACAGTGACTTCAGATTTTGGTTTGGATTCTGCTGTAGATTTTTTGCCCCTGCTCCTGCCTTTCTTTTTAACAGTTTGATCCTCCTCAGTAGACTGTTTAGGCTCCGAATGGTCTTCAGTCTCCACTTCGGTGTTTCTGTCTGACCTAGCTGTCGAAGGTCCACTGTCTGTTCCTTCATCAAATACCTGCGTAGGCTCACATTCTAGAGCAACAGTTTCTGCTGTAGAATCACTTTTTCTCTTTACAATATTCAATTCATCATAGTCAAATACTTGTGTTGCTTCACATTCTGCTGGTATGACATCAGCGTCCAAATTTTTTTCACCCAACACTTGAGTTGAATCACTGTCTCCCATTTCATCCCCACTTGGCTTGTCATCAAACACTTGGGTGGCTCCATCCATGGCCAAAGTTTCTGCCTCTGCTGCCTTGTTATCATCAAAAACTTGAGTTGCTTCACATTCAACAGCTACTGTCTCTGCTTCCGCCATTTTCTCATCACCTTGCTCACATTCAAACACAACAGTTTCTGCTTCTGAAGTCTTTTCATCAAAGACCTGCGTGGCCTCACATTCTATGGCCATAGTCTCAGCTGATTTATCGTTAAATACTTGTGTGGCCTCACATTCTATGGCTACAGTCTCAGCTTCAGCTGATTTATCATTGAAGACCTGTGTGGCCTCACATTCTATGGCTACAGTCTCTGCCTCCTTCATTTTATTGTCAAAAACCTGAGTGGCTTCATTCTCAGCCTGATTACAAACAGCAAGTGTTGCACCATCAGTTATGTCAGAAATCTTCTGTGTGGCCTCATCTTCATCCTCATTTAATTCTACCTCCACAATTGGAGTACTTTTGGAGGTTCTTCCATACTTCTTCCCTCCTTTTCCCCTGCTTTTATTCTTAACCAATGTATCTTCACTGATAGCCACTGACGCGTCACTGACAGCCACCGTTTCATCGCTGACAGCCACTGTCTGGTCAGTGAAAACCTGAGTCTCAGCCTCTTGATCCCCCTCATCTGTCACAGTATCCTCTTCCTCTTCAGTGTCCTTGACATCCTCTGGAAGGTCGCTGGCCAGGGTCGGATTAGCAAATAAGTGACTCATGTCTGCCTCTTCTTCCTCATTCTCCTCCTCCTCCACCTCAACCACAGGGATGTCCTCATCCTACAGTTATAATGTAAATATCAACTACAGGAATGTCCTCATCCTACAGTTATAATGTAAATATCAACCACAGGGATGACCTCATCCTACAGTTATAATGTAAAAATCAATCACAGGAATGTCCTCATCCTACAGTTATAATGTAAATATCAACCACAGGAATGTCCTCATCCTATAGTTATAATGTAAATATCAACCACAAATACACAGGGATGTCCTCATCCTACATTTATAACATAAATATCAACCACAAATACACAGGGAAGTCCTCACCCCACTGTTGTAATTCAAATCTCAACCAAAATACCGGTAAGCAAAGTTTGTAAAACACTTGTGCTCCCCTTCCCAAAATAATCAGAATAATTCTAAGTTCAAGGGGAATTACTCTGTCCAAAGTGGCTAGATCGTAACCAAAAGAGAACTTCACCCAGATATTTTTATGATAAATTTTTTATATTAAATTTCATATCAATATGTGCAACCTCTGCAAAGAAAATGAGCGAAAAGTGCAAATAATTGGAATTTTTCTAAGTCCAAAGGGCATAACTCTGTTCAAAATGGCCCGATCACATCCAAAATAAAACTTGACCTAGATATTTATCTGATAAATCTGTATACCAAATTTCAGTTCAATATGTGCAACATCTGCGAAGAAAATGAACGGAAACTGCAAATACTTGCAATTTTTCTAAGTCCAAGGGGGCATATCTCTGTCAAAAATGGCTCAATCCCTCCCAAAACAGAACTTGTCCTAGATACTTATCTGATAAATCTGTATACCAATTTCTTTACAGTATGTGCAATGGTTGTGATGAAAATTAACAGAAACTAAGTGGACCGACTGACAGCAGCAAAGCAATATGCCCTCCTTTCTTTGAAGGGGGGCAAAAAAATATTCATAAACATCAAGGCAGTCACATTATAATTCAAAACTCAATCGCAAATACACAAAGATCAAAGTACAGTTGTACTTTTATCAGACTGAGCAAACTGCTACTGACATTTCAGGGTTTATCTTCAGTAAACTTATGCAAGAAAATATCTCGCCCAACAATAAAATGCTTAAAAATATTTTTTTTGAGTCACTTCAACATAATATTTTCTTCAAAAATAGCTATGGCTACATAAAATTGAAATCTGTTTTGAGGTTGCCGCATTGCTAATTTTATTGTATTTTTGCTAAAATAAAAAGTTGGTATTGCGGAGACCAATCCAGAAAAAAAAGTTCCGTCTGTATTTTTTTGTAGTTTAGTATTCAAATATCATTCCGGTAGCCATTTGCAAAGAGATTTTGGCTACTTCGGTTGAATATACATTCGAAGACATTGCCTTCGATGTTCACACGCTGATAAGCAATGGATAAAGCAAACCTTTTGATCAGACATGGAAAGTATATTTGTGAATAAAAAAATTATCTTTATTTTAAAGAAAATTCGAGAATTAAAATTTTAAAAAAAATGCCTCCCTCATCTACTTTATTGCCAATAAAATGCCACCCTTCCACATTTGTTTTGGAGAAAATTGGCCTGAGAACCAGAGAATTAAATTTAGATAGCCTATCAAATAAACTATGAGAATTTGTTAAATTAAATTTTCTACCTTTTCTTCGTGATCACTGTCAAGTACTATTCCCTGTGGGACACCACTCTTTCCTCTGAAAAAAGATAAAAAGTACGGTAAAATCGCACATTTTTGTGGGATCAAATTTTCGAGGTTGGAGAATGGAGGTTTGTAGGGATTTCATTTTGTGGTTTGAAAATGTTTTATAGTACTAATGCATATGAAATTTTACATTTAGTGAAGGTCATTAATTCATGGGTCTCTACATACCTCGAAAACAACCAAAATTAACCCCCCACGAAAATTAGTGATTTATAGGTAGTTTTTATAACTACATGTAATATTGTGCCATATAAATGCCTCATTTTCAATAGACAATCAAGTTTTCACCTGGTGGATTGCAAAACAAATTGGGTCTATTGAATGGTAAAAGTACATCCCCCTACCTCGCATCTAAACAACTCAGAAAGTAAAAGCACCAAAATATACACTGTGTCTATATTACATCTACCTTTTGTCCTCAAGGAATGATTGGGTTTCAGCACAAAGGATACTCTTTTTAGGCGAATCCTCTTCAGTGGTTTCTACAAACAAGAGATGTTTGTAAAACACTTATGCCCCCCTCCCTCCAAATTTGAATTTTTTCCAAGTCCAAAGGGGCATAACTCTGTCTACAATGGTGCAATCCTACCCAACACAAAACCTGACCTAGAAATTCAGCTGAAAAATCTGTATACTAAATTTCATTTAAATATGTGCAACCTCTGCAGAGAAAATGAACGGAAACTGCAAATAAGTGGAATTTTTTTTAAGTCCAAGGGGCATAACTCTGTCAATAAAGTTAGTGCCCCACCACAGCATGATACGCCTATCAAATATTGTTCAATAATAATCATAAATTGGTTAGGGTGCAAGAAAATCAGGTAGCCTTGATTAACAGATAGACACAAATTTCAATGATTTAATTTCCATTTTTTATATTTAAAATATTGTACATACATATCTAAGAGACTTACAGTGTAGGGATTAAATATAACAAATAATACATCATATAATTCTAAAGTGGCTGTGTTAGAGCTTAACAAATATCCATATGCATGCAGCTTTAAATTGTTTATTGCATATTTTATGAAATAATGGAAATGCTAGTCTAATAAAAAAAATCAAAAATCAATTATTCTTTAGACTATAAAATTCTAAGTGAGACATGACTGCAATTTGTTCCAAATACTAGCATATAAAAATTGAAATGTAAATTTTTTTTTTCAATGAACACATGTATATATTATACAATACTAATTTAGTTTTAATCATACACAAAAACATCAATACGTTTTAATTACATTACACCGATTGAATGATCTTTATCTGGACTATAGCCATCAAGAACTCTTAATTAACACAAGCAACTATGAGGCCATTTCTTTTTGCCCAACTCCAAAGAGATAAATTGAGCAGCTGCATGATCAGATCTAGAGATTACCAGTTAGCTCCTGACGATAAACTCATGAATTTCTCTCTAATTTGCATGCACATTTCTGCTATCAAAATTCTTCTTGACCAGTGCTTGATAATTATGCCCATGGGACAAACTGAATTCCTCTCAAAACATTGACATTTGTTACAGATTGCTGTAAAGTATATGATGAAAAAATATGTTTTTACTTAACATTTTTTACTAAGGATACAACTATATTTTTATATTTTTTAGGATTATGAAATTTAAAATTTAAAAGACTTAAATTTTTTTAAAAATTCACTTAAATTAAAGGTCACAGTGACCTTGAAATAGGCCGCGACGCACCTTCTACTTTAGATGTATACTTTTGCCAAGTTTGAAAGCTTTGTGTATAAATACATGTAACAGGTGTGAAATTCTTCCAACTTCATCAAGGAGCCATCATCAAACCTTTTGGGAATCATGGTCTTTTCTCTCCAAAATTTTATCATTATTTATTGTTCCTATGGGTATCTTGAACAATAATATAGGGTGCATGCATTGACATGTAAAAACTATTTCTTTTAAATGCAAGATTGAATTTGTTGTAGCTAATGAAACATTCTTCATTTTCTTTCTTCTTGACTTTAAATTCATTACATTGTTTTTATTACATTGAAAATATGAATTTGAACTGTTTGTCATCTTTGTGTGACATGACACTGTATATTGACTGTTAAAAAAAACCCATATAAATACACTATAACATAAAACATAGGTAATCAGAGATTACAGAGCTCACCTCAACGAATGTTGTCTTTAAGTAAGGCAAAGTCACACAATTAACCAACAAAAAGTGTACTTTCCAAAAATGAAAATATTTAAGCAATTTTGATCTGATACTTTGAAATAGACCTACATAAAAAATTTAAACTAGTTCTTCTTCATGAAAATGTAATCAAAATCCAGCATCTGAAGCAAATTTGAGAGTTTTCATCTCTTGATGCAACATTTGTGCAAGTTTGGTTTATACAATCTTATATAAGCCTTATAGTTTTTTGGTAATAGACATGCACCCACAACTTTTACCTGGTCTATTATCTGAAAAATGTATGTCGAATTTAGCATCCGAAGCAAGTCCATTAGTGTGCATCCTAAGATGTATCGTCCATGCAAGTTTGGTCAATATAGAGCTTATAGTTACTTGGAAATGAAACCTACACCAAAAACTTTAACCTGTTCACTCAACCGGAAAATGATGGTCAGATTCAGCATCCGAAGCAAGCCCAGTAGTATGCATCCTTAGATGTATCATCCACGCAAGTTTGGTCAACATAGGGCTTATAGTTACTTGGAAATGAATCACTCACGAAAAACTTTAACCTATTCACTCAACCAGAAAATGTAGGTCAGATTCAGCATCCCAAGCAAGCCTGGTAGTATGCATCCTTAGATGTATCATCCATGCAAGTTTGGTCAACATAGGGCTTATAGTTACTTGGAAATTAAACCTGCACCAAAAACTTTAACCTGTTCACTCAGCCGGAAAATGATGGTCAGATTCAGCATCCGAAGCAAGCCTGGTAGTATGCATCCTTAGATGTATCATCCATGCAAGTTTGGTCAACATAGGACTTATAGTTACTTGGAAATGAAACCTGCACCAAAAATTTTAACCTGTTCACTCAACCGGAAAATGTAGGTCAGATTCAACATCTGAAGCAAGCCCAGTAGTATACATCCTTATATGTATCATCCACGCAAGTTTGGTCAATATAGAGCTTATAGTTACTTGGAAATGAAACCTACACCAAAAACTTTAACCTGTTCACTCAACCGGAGAATGATGGTCAGATTCAGCATCCGAAGCAAGCCTGGTAGTATGCATCCTTAGATGTATCATCCATACAAGTTTGGTCAACATAGGGCTTATAGTTACTTGGAAATGAAACCTGCACCAAAAACTTTAACCTGTTCACTCAACCGGAAAATGTAGGTCAGATTCAGCATCCGAAGCAAGCTCGTTAGTATGCATCCTTAGATGCACCATCCATGCAAGTTTGGTCAACATAGGGCTTATAGTTACTTGTAAATGAAACCTACACCAAAAACTGCACCAAAAATGTTAACCTGCTCCAAAAACATTAACCTGGTCATTCCTTTGCTGAAATTGCAGCATCTGAAACAATGAAACACACTAGAACCATCTTCCATGCATGTCTTATCAATATAGGACATAGAAGTACTTAAAAAGAAAACTGCTCCAAAAAACTTAACCTGGGACGCCAACGCCGACACCGACGCCGACGCCGAGGGTATTACATAAGCTCCCCCAACTTCGTTGAGGTGAGCTAAAAATCAAATTAATTTTACTATTAATAACTATCACATTCTTTTTTTTTTTTTTTTTGTGAAAAGCCTGGTAAATAAATGTTTTGACAGGCAATAAATTACAATTAAGAGAATTAGAGAAGAGAAATCTTTCCTTCTGTTGTCAAATTCTCAGGAGATATAGATAACACATGCTCAGAGATGCCCAACTTCCCACACTAAGCTCATTAATTATCTCTAACTGGATACATGTCCACTCATATCTCCTTAAGGACAAATGGATAGATTATAATTGGAATTTTTCTGAGTCCAAAGGGCATAACTCTGTAAAAAATAACACGATCGTACCCAAAACAGAACTTGGCCTAGATATTCTTCTGATAAATCTGTATACCAAATTTCATTTCAGTATGTGCAACGGTTGTGAAGAAAATGAACGGAAACTAAGTGGACCGACAGACCGACGGACAGCAGCAAAGCAATATGCCCTCCCTTCTTCGAAGGGGGGCATAATAACAGAGAAGTACAGAGGAAGTAATTTTTTAGTCTATTTGTACCTCTTCAATAGAAGGGAAGGGTTTTTGTCCTTTATAGTTCCCATTTATACAAAATAAGACATTAACATTTGCCATTTCACAGTGTTGAAAACTGAAATGGCAACAATTTAGCAATGTTTCTTCAACTTTAACTTGCAACCTCCTTTAACAAATGATACCATCAGTAATTACTTTCTGCTGAAGACATCAATACATGTATACTCCATTTGTCAGATATGTCATCTTCTACAATGCCAACATAAGAAAACCGGAACAACTCTGTTTCTGAACACTCAGTAATTACTTCACTTGGACAGTTGATGGAATCAGATAAGATTTGGATGTGCTTACTTACCTGCATCACTCTCTGCTAAGAAGCGCTGAGTAGGAGCCTGTAGTAAACTCAGATCACTGGCAGTCCTCTTCTGTACACCTAACAAAAATAATCAGGTAACCAACAAAAATATCCAGCCCTTTCCAATTGTTATGTTTTTCAGTTCTTTGCAAAGATTTTCTATTGCATTACAGTATATTATTACACAATTATTTATAACTTCTTTTTTTTTTAAAATGCACAAGTTAAAAAAATCATAAATCTATAAACATTATTCATCCAACTTTGAATGTCTCTTTTATTTAGTTCTAGATTTTACAGCAATCATAGTTTGATGTTGGCAAGAAAAATATTTGGCTTCACCTCTGCACATTTTTCTGGTTTATATCATATCATATTAGCAGCCTAAATTATCTCTAAAGAAATTGAGACCATTCATTTGCATGTACATGGATTTCATTCCAACTTCAAAAGGGCCAGTTACACAGGCATCTTCCTCTAAATATGGAGTAAGTCGTATATTTCATGTCCAACACAAACCTTTCCCTGAGTGAGGACTTCCTTCTTCCTCTGTTTCTGACCCAGATTCTGGTAACACAACTGAAGTGCTCAATATACCTACATATAAACAGAGAATTATCAAGAGACTTCATACACATGTACATAAGACTAATTGTATAAGCATTTTCTGAAGGTATCAAAATTTAGCCAGATATTGTAGAAACAGAATCACAAATTTCTCTGTATAACCTTCATCTTAACCTTGGTTAACCTATCAACAGCTGAACTGAAGCAATGGTTAGAAAACTTCATTAACTATGAAATGACTGCAATAAATATAATGCCTTCATTTTTTTCTTTGTTTCAGTACGACTTGTATTATCCAATTAAAGTGAGATTCATACAATACATGCAAATGCTCTCACAGGGACGTGGTAATTTTCTATACAATTTTCAATATGAATATTAATATAACATATTATAAAGAACAGAACTAGACAATGTCTGAAGTCAATGACGATATACTGAACCATGCCCAAATATAAACACCAACCTTTGGTCCTACTAGGGGCTGGAGTTTCTTTCACAGTTATGTCTGGGCTTTTCCTGTCTGTAAATAACAACCAATCAGGTTCTTAAAACAATTTAAAAATGCTCTGTACACCTGTAAAATTGTCAATGATATCATCATTCAGACATCACATCTAAGTACATCTTACCACTTTCTTCATCTGTGTCCAAGTCAAAATTAATTCGGCTTTTCTTGTTTCCATCTTGTTTCTGTATAAAAGCCTAAAATTGAAAATAAATTAATTGTTCAAAGTCCAATCACATAGTTATGTTCAAACTCTGACATGTAGCCTGTATGGATCAGAAAAATTATGAATATGTGAATTCCTTGTAGTCTGACATGTCAACTACAGAACTGTTACTCTTACCTGTGTAGGTTGTAGGAGATCTGTTATCCTTTACCTGTGAAGGTTGCAGGAGATCTATTATCCTTTACCTGTGTATGTTGTATTAGATCTGTTATACTTTACCTGTGTAGGTTGTAGGAGATCTGTTATCCTTTACCTGTGTAAGTTGTAGGAGATCTGTTATCCTTTACCTGTGTAGGTTGTAGGAGATCTGATATCTTACCTGTGTAGGTTGTAGATCTGTTATACTTTACCTGTATAGGTTGTAGGAGATCTGATATCCTTTACCTGTGCAGGTTGTATGAGATTATTTTTTACCTGTGTAGGTTGTAGGAGATCTGTTATCCTTTACCTGTGTAGGTTGTATGAGATTTGTTATCCTTTACCTGTGTAGGTTTTAGGAGATCTGTTATACTTAACCTGTATAGGTTGTAGGAGATCTGATATCCTTTACCTGTGCAGGTTGTATGAGATTTGTTATCCTTTACCTGTGTAGGTTGTATGAGATCTGTTATCCTTTACCTGTGTAGGTTGTATGAGATCTGCTATCCTTTACCTGTGTAGGTTGTATGAGATCTGTTATCCTTTACCTGTATAGGTTGTAGGAGATCTGTTATCCTTTACCTGTATAGGTTGTATGAGATCTGTTATCCTTTACCTGTGTAGGGTGTAGGAGATCTGTTATCCTTTACCTGTGTAGGTTGTAGGAGATCCACACTGCCATCACTCTCATACTCCTCTTCCTCTGACTCGTACACAAGAGTGGTTACACGGGAGGTTTTTATTTTATTATCCAACAAATCAATAGGAGCTGTCTGGAATCCGGATTCAGATCCTGTCTCAGAGTCCTCTGGATTGTCCTGCAGTTTTCAAAATTAAATAGAGTTATAAAATGAGTAAATTCTCATGTACAGGTCTTTAAAATTGAGTATATGAAAATATGAACTAGAACAATTGTCATGAATGAACCATTTTTATTTTACTTACATGTTCACCAATGATGTAAACACACTTCACATCCCCAAAGAGTAAATTATCCTTATCTTTCAACTCATAGCGAACTTGTGGAGTCAAAAATAACTGTAAGAATACCAATCACATGCATGTATTATTTAACAAAGAAGAGGGGGTTCAGTGCTGTAAGTGATGTAACATTACTACATAATTGTCAAGATTTAATATTCAGGATGTGAAAATCGTCCTTTTCAGTTTTATTATTTTTATGAACTAATCCTGCCCTTTCTTGTTTTATTCAATACCAACCTTGTCCTCTAGGTTTTTTCTTTTTTTAACTAACCTTGCCCTTTCTGGTTTTATTCCTGCTTCCCTTATCATAAATTAGATGGTTTTCTCCTCGTATTTCAATGCATGCATGCTGTCTAGACAAGGCCTTAAAAAAATTAAAGTTTTTTATATTAAAATTTTTACTTTGAAAATGCAAAATAATCATTACCACAGGTACTTTTTTCTTTAATTGAAGCTCTCTTGCATATGAATATTACCTTTAAGGGAATTGCAATGTTACATACATCTTCTTGGCGCCCAATGACATTATCACCTTTGAAACATAAGAAAACTAAATCTTAGGAAACTAATTATGAAAGAGAATTTAAACGAATATTCTTCAATAAGGTACAAGGAAATAAATAGATGGTATCAATCACCTGACCTTTTCCAATTTTCAATTATTTTGACTTTAAATAAATTAAGAACTTGTTATGATCTTGAAAGAATCTATCAAATGCTTTTGTATTTTCATAATGCATTTCCAAAAACACTATACATGTACAAATATACAAACATTTGGGGAAAACTCACCCTCATACAAAGGGAAAAGCTTTTCTGGAAATCCCTCTTGCTTTAAAACTTTTAAAAAGGAGACCTGAGACAAATTCCAAAATAATCATTATCAAGTCATTCAATATGGAAAGTAAATGTTCATATTTCTGATTTTTTTTTTATTTACTCCAGCTTTGCTTATACATTTTCATTTTGGCTGAAATATACATAAATATCAAAAACAAGGACAATTAGCTGAGAAAAGTCAAATAATCTTACTATTTTCTTCTCTCCATCTGTATTTTCTTCATCTGTCTCTTCATCATAATCCTCTAAATAAATTGCTTGTGTCTGTTCCAAGTCCGACATTGTCTAATCTTCTGAAATAAAAACACCAAACTTTATTGCATGGTTCTAAAACATGCATTACAGATTTAAAAGCCATTGGATGGGGAAGTTGGGTCACTTGATTACACTCACCTGTATTCAGGAAATTTGAAAACAAATTGAAACTGATTAATTTTACATCTGGAGTCTGTAAAATTAGAGAAGATAAGCCAAGGAGTGAGATATAATCAGATGCAGAGTGGGAAAAAATGAAAGGAATTTATTATGTAAAATGGAACTTGATTTAAGACTAAAAATGAATCAAATTTGTATAAAGTTATAAACTTTTTATAGTCGTGGATTTTTCAAGTCATTTAATTTGGTTTGGACGGAACACTTCTAGTATACCGGTCCCCATAAATATGGCGCTAAAATAGCTGCTGCCGAAGGCCGTGTACAGTATATAGACGATCGCGTGAGCGATCGACTAAATCGAAAAAGAAGCCACAAATTCCAAATTTGACCTCAAATTCGTGTTCCTTGCGAAAAATTGGGTTTAAAAAACTGGTTTTTAAACACAGTTTTTTAAATGAGAATTTAAAGATTTCGTAAAATAACGTTCTTGTTTAGGAAGTAAATCTCCATCTTGCATTGTTTAGGAATGCAGTCACATGATCAATTTTTGACGTAATCTCATAAATATTCATGAGATGCGTCACTTGTGTTTTGACGTAATGAAGAAATGCCTGACAGGACTCAAAGTGCAATGCTATTAAAATTGCGTGATTTTTGTGAGAAATACAGGGATTTAACAAATGTTAGCTAATGATTAGTCATCGATGGATTGAATTGTGCATCATTATCGATTTGAAATGGAAAATATTCTGAATATTTGGACATGATTAGGAGGTCAGAATATCGAGCTGCAGTTAACGGTAAGTCGCTTTTACAATAACTTGCCTAAACTCAGCGCTGAAAATCGTCATGTTTCGACAATAGAGTTGATTTACTCGAACTTTCATTTCTTAAACTTTCCTTTGTAAAGCAAACATGTCATGAACTAAACCAAAGTGTAAGATATCAGCACGATTCGACAGGCTGATTCATGCAAGTTTTTGGTCACAAAGGCACTCATAGTGCCTTTTGTAAGCAAAAATTACATAAATTAGCCCAAAGTCAGAAAGATTACAGACTGGATTTATAAAACAAACCCAATTTTAAAAACTATATAACCTAATCCTAATCACTCGATCGGATGCGTTTTGTTGAAGCGAGTGGGAAATTGCGGTTTGTTTACATTCTGCATAGCAACAGCAAGGGAAATAACTGCTCATGCGCAATCGCGTGATTCTGGGGACCGGCATACTAGAAACTTCCCGTTTGGACAGTGATTTGGAAGGACCAGCGTCAGAGTCTCATTTTTAATGTGAAAATTGGCACATTAAACACGGTTAAATCAATATCAAGTGGTAAAAATGTGCTCATTAATTTTTTTTTTTTTGTATTGTACTTTAAACTATTTTGCATTAAGGTGAAGATCTTGAAAATGAAAGTTGCCTTCAGATTTCTCATCATTGAGAAACAAATTCTTCTAATGTCCCTTTACAAATGTAGTAAAGTAAAATAAGATGTATCGGGACTTAATTTTTAGGTAAACCTAATGAAAATACATATTTCAAACTGCCAGTTTTCAATTTAAAACGTAGGTAAATTTTCTATTAAATAATTTTTTAAACTTGATTGCCAGTCTTCAAACAATTGCTAGTCTTCAAAACAAAGTTGTTCTGTCTTTGAAGTGAGACGGTTAATGGAACTTAAGACTTTTTTTTAGCTTAGCCTAATATCTAACCTGTATTTGTACCTTCTGCTAATGCTAGCCTATAAAAAATAGACTGCAAATCAGTAACGTTACATTAAAATATTCCATGGACAGGTGAAAAACACAGTCAGTGTTGTATACTCGATTCTCATTATATCGCGGGTTCCATTGTATCGCGGTATATTCCCAAAAATTAGATACATGGCTCATATGCTTTTTGTTGAAAAAATTATCAGACTGTCATCTGAATGTAAATTTTTGTGATGATTAAAAAGTATGGAACATGCGTCGGAAAAAAAAATATTCAAAGAAAACGTAATTTTGCAGAAATCCATTATTATTTTTAGCCCACTGAGTTTATAATCTAGTGAAATCCATGTAAAGTTTATGTTTTGAAAGTCTTTAATTCGTGTAATCGTTTGTTTTCTTATGTAGGATTACATGGTAAAATAAAAAATAAGATGTCATGTCCATGTCAACCTCAAGTTTCCATGTTTTCCCATTTCGCGATACTATGAGACTCTCCGATTTAGGAGGTAGATAAGACTTCCTGTTTTAAAAATAGACTACAAGTTAAACGATGCAAGCTTGGGAAATAATTTGATACTAAAAAGTTAGGCCATAGGTTGGTTTATGAATATCATTTGATGAAAGTTAAATTTAAAAAATCGAATTACACTTTTTTATGCAAAAGTTTTAAGTACCGCGATATAATGAGGCACCTGTATACGTAGTTTTCCTTAATTTTTTATTTGACTGGTCAACTCTGTGAAAATTAAAAGTTTCTTAACAATATAAGATTACATAAGCTCCAAAGCATTGCTTTAAAAACTTACAATTTCACAATAAGTTACATATTGGATTTTCTGCTTCTTCGCGCACTTTCGTTCCGCATGCGCTTTCCCAGACCGGATATGGAAGTGTAAATGTAAAAGTTCATGTCGGTCCGGTGTCTGGACCTTTCCAGTAACAACAGAAATGGGAGTTACAGTCCAACAAATAACCCCTGGGAATGGTATCTATATCAGAGGTTTTATTCTAGCTTCAAGGGACATTAAATGGCATGCTTTTCAAAACTAATTGTTAATTACGCAGTAAATAAGGTCAGATTGAAATATCAAGTTGTGTAGATCTACTACTACTAGTTAGAATCTGTGACTGTGTTTGTTGGCATAGCCATAGGGGTTGGCAATAAATGCAGAATATGCTAAGCAATAATCAGTTCTGGGCAAAGCTCATTGGTTATTGTCAATAAATATACTGCAGAGTAGTTTTGTAAGACTGTCGACTCTTGGACGCAATATTAATTGTTTTGACTCCTGTCTGACAGTAATGTAACATTTTGTTGTCTTTGAAAATATAAACAAGTCCAGTACAGTCTCTTAATACTAAGAGTAGACTTGACTGGTCTCCACACCAGCAATATCCACACACTCATTGGACTTTGACATAACATTTATGGACTCGAATGATAAGATGCTCCTTAAATGCCTTATATATGCATTAAGTTCGATGGGACAAAATTCAGCGGAAAATTTGTGACCGCGTACATAGCGTAAATTAATGCCACACGGAAAAAAGTACTTCTACAGTATTTTGAAAGGGAACAGTGTGGCAGTTTTCCCTAAAATGTGAATGCATTTTTATGAGTGTTTGTCAAATTTTCTATTTTTCTAAATTCTTTTCTTTCCAGGTCAGACATATCCAAAGAAAGGACAAGTAGTAGTTGTCCATTACACAGGTACAATTTTATTAAAGCAATTCTATATGAGATATTTTTAAAACAAGTTTTCAGAAAAGACTTGTTATTGAAATGATAAATATGGCAGACAGGTGGCTGCCAAATGCAGTAGGATACCCCTTTTGTCTGGATAATCCTCCTACAGTCTTCAAGATAGGACTTTTTTTATTTTCCAGATAAAATTGTACATAAATCATGCCTATAATGTCAACATACTATTATAGCTGCATCAAATAAACTGGACTGCAATTTATTTTAGGGACATTGGAGAATGGACAAAAGTTTGATTCCTCGCGAGACAGGGGGCAGCCATTCAAATTTAGGATTGGTCACCAGGAAGTCATCCGAGGCTGGGATGAAGGCGTCGCTAAAGTAAGCTGCTATTTTTACATGCGTCTTGTAGGCTTGGATGCTGATCTGCATTGAAGTCATTTTTCATTCAGTGATACATTTTCAATCCATGAATTTTTATGATGTACAAATGTTACTTTTTAGCTAATTTTTATGTAATTTCCAAATCATAAGTAATGTTGATCATTTTGATTGGTATACTTCTGACTGAATTTGTTTTTGTCTAGATGAGTATCGGAGAGCGAGCTATTCTGACCTGTAGTCCAGACTATGGATATGGAAGCATAGGATACCCAGGAGTATATCCTTTAAACATTACACTTAATGCCAACCTTTATGTTGGAAAATGTATATTACATTCACCAGAGTAAGACACAGCTTATGAATTATCAGAATATCATTTTAGAAACCACATTATCAGATAATATATGCCAAGGAATCATTTATGATCGTACATGTATACGTACAACTGTACAAGTATTTTTATGCCCTCTTCAAAGAAGGAAGGGCATATTGCTTTGCTGCTGTCTGTTGGTCGACCATCAGTTTCCTTTCATTTTCTTTGCAGAGGTTGCACATATTGAAATGAAATTAGGTGTACAGATTTATCATAAGAACATCTAGGTCAGGTTCTGTTTTGGGCACAGTTGGGCCATTTTTGACAGAGGTTATGCCCCTTGGACTTAGAAAAATTCCAATTCTTTGCAGCTTCCGTTTATTTTCTTTGCAGAGGTTGCACTTATTGAAATGAAATTTGCTGTACAGATTTATCATAAGTATATCTAGGCCAAGTTCTGTTTTGGGTATGGTCGGGCCATTTTTGACAGAGTTATGCCCCTTGGACTAAGAAAAATTCCATTTTTTTGCAGTTTCTGTTCATTTTCTTTGCAGAGGTTGCACATATTGAGTGTAAATTAGGTATACAGATTTATCATAACAATATCTAGGTCAAGTTCTGTTTTGGGTACGATCAGGTCATTTTTGACAGAGTTTTGTCCCCTTGGACTTAGAAAAATTCTAATAATTTGAGGGGAGGATGGCATAAGTGTTTTACAAACATCTCTTGTAATTATTGCTTTAGGAGAAGGTGTGATTACATTATTTTCTACGGTACATCAAAAATTTTAGCTTATGATTTTCTTGACACTAAGATATTACACAGTTTTCCTAAGGAGAGCATTGTAAACCAAGGGACATAAAAATGTTTCAAAATAGGTTTTAATCATATTCTAATTTATCTTAAAATCTAACAGGGAGTTTCCTTAACTAAGAATACTATTCCTCCCAATTCAAAGCTTGTATTTGATGTAGAGCTGCTGAAGCTAGAATGAGGCCACCCCAGACCACCTATATATCTTATTTATTAAAACATTTCCTTGACTTCAATGGAACAACTTTATTTACAATGGAGGAAAGTGGAAGACGTATCCAACAGATTTTTTATGTGTGCATATACACGTATTTTGAGTATTTTGATATGACTTTTGTGTTCATTAGGAATATTTTATTATTATCCATGGAGTTACAATTTTGTATACTAAATAGGTTTTTAAAGACATATATGAATATTTTCTATTTATCACCTGTATGTAATTACCGATGGTGAATTTTTGTGATGTAATGAAACATGGTTGTTTTATTGATTATTTGTGACACAAGACCATAGATCTAAAAGGCGGCTGCAAAGTTCTTAGTGACATGCATCTTTGCCAGAATAAGATTTATGTGTGTTGTTTATATAAAGTAAAATATGTCTTGCAGCAACTTGCAAAAAATCTTTTAGCCCTGTAGTACATGTGCCTACAATGCATTACAAAGTTTTTCTCTCACAGCTAGACTATTTATTTTCAATGTTAATTCAATGTTAGGATTTTTTGTTTCATTAGTGTGTTTGTGTATAAGAGCTTACTTGCCTGGTTAGAACACTGTGTTTTTGTGAAGAAGATGGTCCTCTATACAATTTTGAGGCTACATTAGCAAAAATTATGATAATTTAGTAGAAGTTATGTTTTCAAATCAAAGAAACATTTTCTGTACATTTCTAGTAATTTTACTTACACTTACATCATCCAAGATACCCATAGTTTAAAACATATACAAGGACTAGAGAATGTGATGTATGGTAACAAAGAAATCACCTGAATGTAGAATCTCTGAAATGTTCTCTATGAGTTTATATTCTATGACGTAAAATTCTAGTTATATTTTTAGCTCACCTGAGCCGAAGGCTCAAGTGAGCTTTTCTGATCACATTTTGTCCGTCGTCCGTCCGTCCGTCTGTCTGTCCGTCCGTCTGTCTGTCAATCTTCTTCTCAAGAACCACTGGGCCAGTAAAGCTGAAACTTATGTGGAAGCATCCTGGGGTAGTGTAGATTCTAAATTGTTCAAATCATGACCCCCGGGGGAAGGGCGGGGCCACAATGGGGAATCAAAGTTTTATATAGAAATATATAGGAAAAATCTTTGAAAATCTTCTTCTCAAGAACCACTGGGCCAGAAAAGCTGAAACTTATGTGGAAGCATCCTGGTGTAGTGTAGATTTTAAATTGTTCAAATCATGACCCCCGGGGGAAGGGCGGGGCCACAATGGGGAATCAAAGTTTTATATAGAAATATATAGGAAAGATCTTTGAAAATCTTCTTCTCAAGAACCACTGGGCCAGAAAAGCTGAAACTTATGTGGAAGCATCCTGGGGTAGTGTAGATTCTAAATTGTTCAAATCATGACCCCCGGGGGAAGGGCGGGGCCACAATGGGGAATCAAAGTTTTACATAGAAATATATAGGAAAAATCTTTGAAAATCTTCTTCTCAAGAACCACTGGGCCAGAAAAGCTGAAACTTATGTGGAAGCATCCTGGGGTAGTGTAGATTCTAAATTGTTCAAATCATGACCCCCGGGGGAAGGGCGGGGCCACAATGGGGAATCAAAGTTTTATATAGAAATATATAGGAAAAATCTTTGAAAATCTTCTTCTCAAGAACCACTGTGGCAGAAAAGCTGAAACTTATGTGGAAGCATCCTGGTATAGTGTAGATTCTAAATTGTTCACATCATGACCCCCGGGGGAAGGGCGGGGCCACAATGGGGAATCCAAGTTTTACATAGAAATATATAGGAAAGATCTTTGAAAATCTTCTTCTCAAGAACCACTGGGCCAGTAAAGCTGAAACATATGTGCCCATGGAAAGATCATGGAGTAGTGTAGATTTCAAAATGTCTAAATTATGATCAGTGGGGTAGGGTGGGGATGCATTATGTATATCAAGGGGGAAATCTGGTAAAGAACAGAATGGTCAAAGCTTCTCAGGTGAGCGATGTGGCCCATGGGCCTCTTGTTTAATGTTTCTGTATGCTAAACTACAAGTGAGACTTTCCTTTAAAATCTATATCTTTATCATTCAACCTTTTCGTTGATGTAGTTATATAGTTCATTTTCACTGAATGGGCATTTTCTAATTTCTTATGTTATTTGGTCACATCTATTTGTGTCTGTGCCATTGATGTGATAGGAATCTTCTTGACAGTATGAATTACCACATTTGCACTGCTTGTCTTAGATTTATAATTTGTGCAATCAAACAAACTCCAGCAACTCTTGACTTTTGTAAAATAATCTCAATGCTAGAATAATAGGTTGTGAATATGTAAATACATGTATTTTTATTTGCTTGATTATGAAACATTTTTGAATGAAGTAAAACCTATGAGCTTTGAATTCTATTTCAAGCTAATTAGTTTAGATGTTATTGGTCCAGGAACAAAATTGCAAGTTTTGTTAATGAAACCGGATAGTACTTTATCTGTATATCATTTACACAACAGATGTATACTTGATATTGGTTTCATTTGATTCTTTGAATGCATCAAATGTATAAACAAAACTAAAATATGAAAAAAATGCATTATTTGTACTCTCTCCCCTCTCTCTCACTGGTTCAAGAGTCAATGATTAAAAGTATTATCTTTGTGTCCCTGACATTGACTAAAAACTTTCTATATATCTACTGTAGTTTCCAACAGTTTATAAACAATCTTGTCAATATTTGTGTTTTATTGCATTTTTGTTAAGTTTTACTTCAATAAATGCATGTAAATATGACAGGAATTTTATTTCACTTGAAGTATTTACATGTGTGACTAAATGTTATTCTTCCTCAGTGTTTTTTGTGATCCATAATTGAAGATTTGTGGAGCATAAAATTTTAAGCTCAATACCTAAGCTGAATCAAAGGTTTCAGTGATCTTTTCTGATTATAATTTGTATGCAGGCATTGTCTGTCATAGCTGTTGTTGTCTTCATAAATTTTTCAATTTTCTTCTTTTCAAGAAACATTAGGACCATTTCAATTAAATTTGACATGGATGAATGGGATTCAAGGTTCAAATAAAGGACCACATCTTTTTTGGTTCGAATCTCACTGTAGGACATGGAAACCGGTCCTTCGGATGAGACCGTATAAACCGAGGTCCCATATCTTAGTAGGTGCTGCCAAGAAAAAGATCCCTCACTGCTGAAAGGCCCTCAGTGCCAAACATAGGTCAAAATTTGCAGCTGTCCACCGGCAAGTGGTGGCGTCTCCATTTGAGTGAAAAATTCTTGAGAGGGACGTTAATCAAAATACAATCAATCACTCTGTCTGATCAACTCAGTTTGACCTGCTCGATCATAACCACTAGTACTTTTGCATGATATACGAGATAACGGAGAGTTATCAAGCTCGAAAGTTCCTGGAAACTACAAATCGGGAGCAGAGCTAACACAGACTTAAACAAGAGGCCCAGGGGCCACATCGCTCACCTGATCTAGGGAAACACACAAATCAGATCAGAATTGAAAAGTTTACAGAGGGGGTGGGGGGAGGTAGCTTGAATTCTAATTCGGACAAATTTAAATCTTCAATACATGAGGATGCTTACTTGTCAATATCACTTAACATAGCTTTTCTGTTATTGAGATTTTCCCTTTATTTTCCTTTGTAAAACTTTGATCCACCATTGAGACCCTTTCCTACCCTTGGAGGTTATAATTTAAACAAATTTAATTCTACACTACCTGAGGATGCTTTCATATAAATATCACTAATCATGGCTTTGCTTTTCTGTAGAAAAAGATTTTTTAAAATATATTTTAATGTAAAACTTGGATCCCCCATTGTGGCCCCACCGTATCCCTGGGGGTTATGATTTAAACAAACTAAAATCTACAGTATCTGAGGATGCTTCCATAAAAATATCACTAATAATGGCTTTGCAGTACTTGAGAATAAAATTTTTAAAGATTTCCCTTTATATTCCTATGTAAAACTTTGATCGACCATTGTGGCTCCACCCTACCCGCTGGGGCTATGATTTAAACAAACTTGAATGTATCTGAGGATGATTCAACATGAGTTTCATCTTTCCTGTCCGAATGGTTCTTGAGAATAAAATTTTTAAAGATTTCCCTTTATATTCCTATGTAAAAATTTGATCGGCCATTGTGGCCCTATCCTATCCCCGGGGTAATGATTTGAACAAACTTGAATGTACACTACCTGAGGATGATTCAACATGAGTTTCATCTTTCCTGTCCCTATGGATCTTGAGATGAAGATTTTTAAAGATTTTTCCTATATATTCCTATGTAAAACTTGGATCGGCCATTGTGGCCCCACCATACCCCTGGGGGTAATAAATTGAACAAACTTGAATGTACACTATCTAAGGATGATTCAACATGAGTTTCATCTTTCCGTCGCAATGGTTCTTGGGAAGAAGATTTTTTAAAAATGCCATAATTTTACACTAATTCATAATTATTTCCCCTTGGAAGAGGGCGTGGCCCTTCATTTGAACAAACTTGAATCCCCTTTACCCAAGGATACTTTGTAGCAAGTTTGGTTGAAATTGGTCCTGTGGTTAACGTTCTTAAGAAGAAGATGAAAATGTGAAAAGTTTACAACAACGACAACGATGCCAACGACGACGACAAACAACGGACAAATTTTGATCAGAAAAGCTCACTACTAAAAAACTATCCCCATTCTGTTTCCCGTCTTCTTTGTCTGAATATCTGTTGTGTCTTTTTAAAAAACTTCAAAATACATGTTGACAGAATATATTTTGACAGTTATAAGGATTATGTCACTGATCACCTTTTGAAGTTTGATCCGAATTATCAACTACAATTCAATTTTTATGATGAAATATTCAATTTAAAAAGAAGATGGGAGAACAAGGCGGGCAGAATGCCTATAGCGTCAGATATTAAGAAATCATAGTCGTATACGTCGGATTTTTATTGCAAGGGTTCGAACCCTACGAATGCCATCTAATAATTTTATGTAAGAAAATTTTTTTACGAGATTTTTTTTCTCTCAGAAAATTTTTTTCTCATAATTTCAAAAATTTCAATAATTAGTAGTTAATTTAAATACTCAATTCACATACTGCATATGATTTCTTAAAATCTCACATACATACGTATATATAACATACTGCTTTGAGACTAACGTTTTAACCACTATGCTACATCACTCATGGTGGTTTGGGGCATTTAAATCATACCGGTATTTGTGATATGTCCTGCGACTTAATGGACTTGAAGTATTTCTCGGAAAGATGCGAATTTTGTGTCATAAAAGTTTACTTTTAGGGTATAGTGGGTCCTCGCTCCATGTTTTTGTAAACCAAAAAATGTGTATTTTATTGCAAACTTTTAGGACGAACTTTCAAAAAAAATGGAGGGAAGACCCACTCATATTGAAAAAATTTTGTTACAGCAGGAGAAAATGATCGTTTTTGTTCTTTTTAGTGTGTGTAAGCTTTTTCATAGGCAAATATATTCAGTCTTTGTGAGATTTTTGTAAATTGTAGAGATTTTACATAAAGTATACTATAATTTTCGATGAAATATCAAATAAAATTTGGATTTAATTGAGATTAAAATTTTCACTTATCTGTCGCACTATAGGCACTTTACCCGCCTTATCCCCCCATCTTCTTTAGAAGTTTAAAAATGTGCCCATGACATTCTCGTATTTTTTTAATACTAGTATTCGACAATGGTTTTTCAAGTGAAATAAAACTATATCTATTTTTCTGCAAAAAAAAAAAAATTGTCACAAAAGAAGAAAAACACGTTGTCATTGAAAGAAATCCGTCCCCTTTATGGTTTTTTGAAATCAACGAACAGTTTTTAAGACACTTCTAAAGGTAAACATTTTACAAATTTTGTTAATCATCATTGTCTCAAACATGTGCATCTCCATTGTTTCTTACACGGAAGCGCACCGCCTCGGGCGTTATTTAATGATTGATGTGTTCACTATTCGGCCATGCAATTAACATTTCCACATTTTAATTTGAACTTTTCCCCACTGTTTCCTCGCTGTTTGGTTGTAATAAGACATGGATAGTAAGCTGTTGTGGGGTTTATTTTTTGTGATTCAGTGTGTGTCCGTTCTGGGAGGAATTCAGAAGGAGGTCCTGACTCCCGGCGATGGTACGTAGCAGTAAGAACCCAGTCAATTACAGATTTTGTAAAAGAAGTAATATAGTTATCGTATATGGCACGCCAAATTCACAAAAATGAGATAAACATAGTTTCACATTTGATAAACTAGGTTTATCGACTGTAAACTATAGTTTACAAACCGTAAACTATAGTTAACGATTCGTTAAGTATATAGTTTACGATTCGTTAAGTATAGTTTTCATCTGTAAAACTATATTTAACGGTTGTTAACTGTAGTTTACGAATGATATCTAAGTTTATCTGTCTGTAATAAGCGTTAACAATAGATTTTGTTGATAAACATAGATTCACGTTTGTAAACTATAGTTTACAATCGTAAACTATCGTTAAGAGTTGTTAATCATAGTTTCACAAATCATGAAACTATATTTATCAGATCGTTAACTATAGTTAACGGTTTGTAAACTGTAGTTTACAAATCGTGAAACTGTATTTATCAGATAATCTATGTTTTGCAATCGCAAATGATTGTTTTCAGTGTTAAGTATAGTTTACGGTTGTGAAACATAGATTATCGCGTTAACTATGGTTGACGGATGTAAATTATAGATTAACGTTGTTAACTATAGTTTACAGTCCGTAAACTATAGTTTACAACCGATAAACCTAGTTTATCGACTGTGAAGCTATGTTTAGCTCATTTTTGTGAATTAGGCGTGCCATAATCGTATGTGTCTTGTTTCAAAATACAGTACTTTTTTGTATACGTGTCTTCTTGTAGGAAAAACGTACCCAGAAGACAGATGGACAGTGATGGTGCATGCAACAGGTGATTTACAAATAAGTACCCGTATTAAGATGCTACAGGGAAACGTGCTGCTGAAAGGATTAAAATAAATTTCTCAAATTATTTGTTAGTGATTGTGAAATAGATTATGGTACACCTTTCTTGATGAAAAGGAATGATTTACATATTTTGACATTTCACAGAAATGTTTGAGAATGGCACCGTTATTGAAAGCTCTAAGGGGAGGAAACCTCTGTTCTTTGTTGTGGGCGAAGCTATTCCAGGTAAGCGTCTTGTAGACGGAAATCGTGAAAGGTGAAATGGAGTAACAACATGTATTTGTTGGAAAAACAATAAATCTTGTTTAACCTTTAGATTGTTTTATCCGTTTTACTTCTTAAAAAGACGTTAAAAAATGAAATCTAAACGACCAAAGTCGATATATATTACCTTTTTTTATTTTACCTGATGATCATTTAAGCTTTCATGCAAACCCATTTTTTGTGTTGCATATAAACTTTCATTTTGTTGAAATTTATTTTGACAGCTTTAAACGAAGGTGTAAAGAGTGTAAGTACTTTTAATAATGAATATATTAAATATCTTATGTAGTCATTCAGAGTCATTAAAAAAAAATAGACCGACAATGTTGCTCTTCATCTTATTTAGTAACATCTAATTTTTATACATTTTCAAACGTAAAATTTCTATTTTGTTGTGATGTGTGAAGTTTATTGTAGCCCCGGTAGAAAAGCAGGGGTTATATATATCCGCAAATCCTCTTATCCCACTGAATGAAATGAAATGAGGCTTTCACAGAATTTGTCTTACATATAGCCCCCCTCCCCCCATTTTACTTTTGATCGGACATTATTTCAGTTCTCCCTTAGCAAAACATGGACTTTACCACTATATTCATATGAGAGGCCGATGATATCATTTTGTGAGCTATGTGCTCACAGTACAGGCACGTAGCAACAGGGGGGCTGCCCCCCCCCCCCCCAACTTTTTTTCCCAACACTACTTTTACTATTGAAAATATTCATTGAAAGTTGAAAGGCTGGTTGCCCCCCCCCCCACTGTATGGTAAAGTAAAGTTTTATGAAGGATATGTAAAAAAAAAAGGTGGGGTATTAAAAATGAATTGGCATTAGAAAAAAAAAAACGTGCCTGCAGTATACCTCTAGTTTCCATAAGAGTTAGGAACGACAATCCATTACAGAACTAGTGCTAATTGTAACGGGGACCGTTACAGATGTTCCCCAAACGCTCCCCAACTCCCTTTTATAGTCATATTCGCTGTAAGCGTAATTAAATAAGACAAACTCTATGCATTTGAGACTTTAACAACGTTTACCCAAAAGTGTACCATGTTCATTCAGATTTTATTATTGCACACTTGCGCATGTAAATGCATGTGCGTAATGACCATATCATATTGTCTACACAATCTATATATTTTAATACGCTAAATATTAAAGTATTTAATCCAAAAGTTTTTTAAAAAACGCTCATTCAAGTGTATTTTTTATTTTACCGATTTCACGTGCACGCACGTGCATACATGAGCATGATGACCATACCTTCTTGTAGAAGTCCATTACATCTATCTATGTTCTAAATCTCACCCCGTTTGGTTGAAAACCAAGGGAGTTATAGCTATTTAAAGTTTCAGCCAATCAGATTGCAGCGCACATACACGCACATGTATGCATGTGCATGGTGACCATACCTTCTTGTAGAAGTCCATTATATATATCTATGCTCCAAATCCCATCCTGTTTGGTTGAAAACCAAAGGAGTTATAGCTGTTTAAAGTTTCAGCCAATCAGATTTCAGGGCACGTACAAGCACGTGCATGCATGTGCATTGTGACCATACCTTCTTGTAGAAGTCCATTATATATATCTAAGTTCCAAATCCCATCCTGTTTGGTTGAAAACCAAGGGAGTTATGGCTATTTAAAGTTTCAGCCAATCAGATTGCAGCGCACGTGCATACACGTGTTTTCATGATAATTGCTATATATCATGTTGTAGGATATCGTAATGCATGGCTATGTTCAAAATTTCAAAGGATTTCGTCAAAAAACAAGAAAGATATTGAGACTTTAGTTTCAGCCAATCAGAGCAAAGCGCACGTGCATGCGCGTGAGATCTTGATATTTTGACCATGTCGTCTTGTCTATACTACTAATATATCCTTACATTATGAGTTTCAAAGCATTTCATCAAAAAATAGAAAAGTTAAGGCAATATACATTATATTGGCCATTTAACGTGTTGCACGTGCGCGCAAAATGACCTTTGTTCGGCAAATCTACATAACATGTCTACTGACCCTAAAAACATTTTACCTTAGTCAGATGTGTAGTTTACAAGATCACTCAAGGACAAAATTTTCCCAGGAATAATAATAATAATAATAATAAGAAACAGAGTAAAAACAATATGTTCCCCAACTTCGTTTGGGGAACATAATTACCAGTCGATTCACCGAAAGACCTGCATGTCAACGTTCATAGGATTTTTAAATTGAATTTCAATTTCAAATAAGTCCAGATT